GCAATAATTTTATCTGTATGTCGATTATGTGTCAAAAACTGCCGATTGAAAATTAAAGTACATTCATCTATTGTACATATTGTATATAACATTCAAATACAATTTCATAGTGAAAGAAACGTCAAAGTTCTCAGAAGAAAAGCAATCATTCCAATTTGTACGTACAAAAACAATGAAAATTCAATTGCAGATTTTTCCAGAACCAACTACATCTAATCAATATCAACAGAAGAATACAATTAGTGAATATAAAACTAATTATAATAATAGTATTTATTGATAGTTCTTTCCGCGATACCCACATTTACCTGGCAATGTAAACACATTTAATAGATGTAAATGATAGGTCTGCTGCTGAATAAAATTCATAATCGTTAATCAATTCATATTACGAAGTACGTAATGTTTTATAACGATGAAAATTGATCATTGCCTTGATCAATTCTGATTGATAGAAATGGGTATTATACTCGTATTTCCATATTTCTCGAAGCGATGAAATACTTGATGGATTTTTTATAGTCATTATGGATCGTTTATACTCTCGGTTATTCATTTCCCAAGTCATTCCTCAATTGAGTGTAAACATTTATATGTTAAAACCGTTTCGAAGTCATTTGATGCATTAGCTACGTTGGGAAGAAGAGAATCTTATCGTTTGTCAAGTTTTTACCAATATCTCATTTCCTCACTTTAATAGAAGAAACTTTTGGTAGAAGAAAAATTAAATGAAAGAAGTGGCAAGTAAAGATTATCGATTAAAATGTTTATAGAGTTTACAGACTTTTTCCCAATCAATTATAATATTTCCTTGCAGATAAAAAAAGGACGTAAACAAAAAACTTTTCAATTTAGGTGAATTTCTGTTAATATATTTGTTTGCCAAAAAAATTGTTAGGTCTTACATTTTAGCTCACGATTTCCAGCAGGGGCTAATAAAAGAAATAACTTTGTTTTCACATCAAACATTTATTTTGCAAAAATAATTTTCAAAGCCCATAGAAGATGTTGTCTCAAGGGCTTGACAAAATCAATGCAAACGGTGCAATGATCAAAAACTGAAGTTTATTTTACATATTACGATTCAGTGGAAATTTCTGAACGTCCTTGACGATTCAAAATATCTGTATCTCCAAGAAGCGAATCTAGGACAGTGCATCACGATTCCCGTGATTTTTATGAAATGACCCTGCCAATGTTCCCTGAAAGACGACACAGGAAATCGCCTAAAACTTCACGTATCTAGGGCACGGGTATTTCTACAATAAATATTATTATTAGTTATGCAGCCATTTCTTTCTCTCACCGCATCAAAAGCAGCAATCACTATAAAGTCCAACCCAAACGACATAACCTCCTACGCATTGTATTTGCACAATGATTTTTCGGCACGGCCATTGAGCAGAAACATTAAAATTCGGCTTATTCTGGATCGTGACATCAGTGCTTTCAGAATGAATGGAATACCAAATATACACTTATCTCTGTTTTTGTTTATTATTCTCATGCCATTCAATTATTTCACACGCATTCCGTGGGTGACGCATGTTTGAACTGTTGAGGTCAGGGCAATCGAGAAATATACAAACAATTTTCCAAATTTGCTGATATGCATAATAATTTTTGTGGTGTCCTTGAAGTTGTTTAGTTGGGTTGGCCACAAAATAACGGATAGATAGGAGGTTCGGTTTCTTCCGAGATTATTATTTCATGAATCAATCTAAAACAAGCACTTTTCCCAAATACCAGAACTGCAACACTCTTCTCGACGCGCGTTCCTCCAACCAGGCTGGAGGTAAAATGACCGTTTGTTCCATATCCTGAAGATGCCAACTTGATTAGTGAAACGTGCGTCGAGATAAATGTTGTAGTTCTAGTGTTTGGGAAAAGTAATTGTTTTGGATTTATTCTACGCCAGATGCTGCAATAACAGCTTTTACATTCAATGAATGAATTGAAAAAATTAAAATGTCATCTCCTGCCTTCCTTCTTCCTTTCTCATTTGTTCAACGCTGGATTTAACTCATATTTATCTTCACCCTTTTATACACGCATTATTCAAACAATATTCGGATTGAATTTATCCAATGAGTGTAAATCGTTTGGTTTATCTTCACCAATTGAAACATAAACAAAAAGTCAGCCATTGAAAGAACTTTTGATTTTCAATAAATTCATTTATTATTACTATTATATTGAATGATCAACAAAGTTTCTAGTGGAGGCGTAGAAAGTCGAAAAGCTTTTTCCAAAAAAATATCTGTGATTTTTTTTTTCAATTGAAAAGTCAGTTTTAATTTGTTCAAATGTAGATCAGCAACAAAAACTGACCTGTTTCCGAATTTTTACTTAATTCTGCCTATTTAACTCGAATCTACACCTCACTTTATGAGCATATTACATTTATTGAAAATATTGCTTTACTTTTTTATATTATCAGTATTTATATTTCAAATTTATTTAATAAAGTATATTCTAAGGATATATTCATTGACTCCTTGGATAGAAAAACATGAAATGAAGACGAACTTTGGAAGATACACTTTTTCATGTGAATCCTTGCAGAATGTGGTCCTTCATAGAAGCTCAAGATCGCATAAATAAGATTATCTTTTCTTATATTTTCCCACTGGTTTCAACGTTTGTGGGGCATTACAATTTGGGGTTGGGCATTCTTGACATCATTTGTCACACTTTCTCATAGAATAGCTTTTTGTAATATGAGAAGGTGTTTGGTTAGCAAAAGCCGTGACATTATATTCGTCACGTAAGGAAGCAGAGAACAAATAAAGGGACCCGGATGTGTAAACAAATAATCACAAGGTTGTAAAAAAGTATCTCCTTTCGTGACACCTATAAATAATGTTTTCGATGAATATTCAAAACTGTCATAACAGCTTTTTATGAAAAGTTTTATAATTAGGGTTTTTGATGTATCACATGAAACATTCCATTTATGGTTGATGAAAATATCAAGTTAACAAACAGATGAACTTGACCGTATCATTCACAATGTCTGAAGTATGTTGGGACTAAAAAGGATCCGCTATTCGAAGTGGAGATTGAGCATTTTCAAAGATGTCAAGCTTGACTCGCTTTCGAACCGAAAAGAAAGAAGAATATACTTTCCATTTAGTAAAACGTCCATCAGAAAAACAGTTGAATCATCATTGTATTAGCCATTCGAAGTTGCATAGTGCCAAAAATAATGCGAATGTCAAAGTATTCGCATTACATAACAATTATTATTAACTTGACACAGTGCAGTCGAGGTCAAAATCATAACACATGCATCCACGCTCAATTAGGTCTAGTTCTATATTTGCTGCTTCGTAACAATTCCTATGTTTTGAAGTGTATGTTGACGGGGAAAATTCTTCATTTAATGAGGTTTTGTTAATTTTGAGATTGGCTTGTTTACTGTTATAAGGTTAATGTTTTTTAGAGACCTTGGTGAATTAAACCAGATTGTCTCAATCTTGATATTCCTAAATATTAGAAATGAATTCGAAATGTATTATTCAGAGCATTTTCATAACTTATCAAATATCATTTCAAACAATATAATTCCATTACTCTTTTCTATTACGATAAAAGAAATGATCAATGGAAGCTATGTGTGAAAAATTGTGTCTTCTACCACCACGCCAATCTTTCATTTGAAAAGACAGTTGACTACTTTTGGAAAAATCATTTCCAAGAATAGTAAGAGAACCTCAACCCTGAAAGCTTGAAGTGTCCAAGCTTTGTTATTCTAAAATTTTCATTACTGACGCGCGCATGATGTTTATAAAAAAAGTAATGAATATAATAATAAAAATCTACAAGCTAGTAGATATTTCAAGGTTCAATATAAACGCGACTGATTTCGGAAACAACTAACAACAACAAGATGAACATTGAGAAAAAATCAGTGAAATCAAATTTGAATTCACTATAATATTGAAATGGCAAAATCAAGTTACTTGAAAACTCCATACTAGAGCATATTTGCGTGGAGCTTTTATAAAATTATTCAAGACAGATTTTATTTTTATAAAGGTACTAAAAGTGGTAGGTACTTTTGAATATTCAACAATATTCCAAGTTATATGTATCTCTGGAACTTTTCATGATTTTGGGGATATTTGAAATTTTTTGGAAAGAATATTCTGTCTGGTTTCATAGAATATCTGAAAATATGACGGTGGTAATAACTGAAATAAAAATTACTCTTGTTCGTAAAATGAATTAGAATTTCTATCCAAAATTCAAATACGTCATCCAGCAAATATGATTTTATCAATGACATTATTTTCAAGTACATGTGCCTGAAACCTTGATATTTAAAAAAATATCAACTGATAAAGTAGAATTTATAACTGACTGATTTAAAATTTTACACCGACAATTGATTTCAGTGAAAATAACTTCTACAAATGAAATTCACTCAGGAAATATAATTCATAAAAGGCAGCTGGAGATCAAAAATTAAAAAACGGATCAAAATTAACTACTGAAAATAAAAATATGAAATGAAATTGCAGTTTGTTCTGCAATGTATTCAATCAAAATTTGTTTCACCATCATCAGTAATGTGAAAAATATATTATTTTTACCACTGAAATCAAAAAACAACATTTTCAGCAGCATGGACAATGAAAAGTTGATTTCGAACTATGTAAAAAAATAAGATGATTAAAAAAATTACTATTCCCAAAAAAAAAACAATCATCTCTACCTACAAGAGCGTGTGAATGATTAATAAAGTTGAATTGAAAAACCCAATTCACAATTTCAATTTTCTGTCACATTTTGTCGAAGAAATTTCTCGTGATATATATTTTTTGAATCCACATAATTTTCTATTTCATGTATTTTTCTGTAAGCACAATCTGCGAACAAAACAACACAACGTTTTGGTCGAAAAGTTCCAACATCAGATCCACTTATCAATTGACGTGGATAACGGCAAATTTTTCAACGAATTCGCAAAAACTTCAATAGTATCTCATACTCACTTGATCTTCTATCCAAAAGGAACCAAACTCAAGCGACTAAAAAGTAAATAAGCCGTCCGCGAATCTTTCGCAACCACTTGTCACGCAGCACGTGCTGTTCGCGTCGTGTAACAAAAAAGCCAGTAAGCCTCTACTCCACCACGAAATACAAACTGAACTGGACGGATCCGCGCTATCTTCACGCCATACGTTTTAAATAATCCCACCTAACCAATAATGTTCGCCGGAAACTCGTGCGGACGTCCGAGACTACATTCGATGATGATGGAGGTAAGGATGACGGTAAGTCGGTCGGTTACCCGCAAATTTTCAGTTTTATCGCGTTTTGTACGACCATTTTCGGTTAAAAACATTTTTTGATTTGCCCGAAAAAGTCAGAAAAAACATTAATGATACGAAACATTGTTATCTCCTCCCAGTTTTAGTAATAGCCAGGAAAGTAGTTATATCCGACAGATATTCAGCAATGCTCGCCTCATAAATTGAAGGAGTACAGAGAGAAGAGATCAATATATCTAATACTCGTACAGTTGTGAATCGATATAATCGTCAATCGGACCTTAGCTGACCTTAGACTTTCTCTGATAGTTTTTGTTGGCCTAAATATTAGTTTTACGTCGTGTGTCTCTAAGATTCTCCAAATCCGGTCTTCAACATTTTCAACATAGAAAAGTAAAGCTTTTCCCTTGGCCAGCCTGGCTGGGGTCTGGCGTTTTCTCTTCTGGGTCGTATGAACCACTCGAATTCTCCTTCGCTGTACTAATTCCTTTTGAAGGCATTTTTGATAATTACTGAGGAGTGGAGTATCATTCCTGTTTAGAATGACAAATTTACTAAATAGGTCATCGGAATGATAATATAAGGTAAGTTCGGGATTTCGTCGGATCCAGCTGATTTTTTATTTTTTATTTTGTTATGTAGAAGGATTTGAATTTCCGGATTTGAATATCCTCTGATGAAAGGGAGTCCAAGTATAGGTAGTGTATATGTTGAAAATTATCTTTTCAGTCGCGTGTGAGTTCGTAGGAGGAATTTTATTGATCGATTCCAGACGGGCGCAGAAGTAAAAAAATCGTTGAAAATATTCGCAATTTTTTGGGGGTCTTTATGAACAACAAATTTATAGAGAGAAGATGTAAAGTTAAAGAATGAAACTGACGGCCACAGAAGTAAGTCAAAAAAGGAAACCGATGGCCACAAAAATAAGATTCATAACTATTATAGAAGATGATACTGAAGTAGATGAAATTCATAATACGACATAAAGACGGTTCAGCTGATTTGGAAAGGAATTAAACACGAGAGGGTAATTAGATAACACAACTATCATACTTGATAGAACTTTTCTATTTTTTCTATCTTTTCTGTGATGTATTGATTCTATCTCAAGAAATGCACATCATGTTACGGAATATTTAGTAGAACAGCTGCAGAAAAAATACAATACATGAGATCGAAGATGACGAGAGATAAAATTTTAAAAAAAGTATGCCGTCATCACCCTTTTATCTCCATGTGCATGTGCAGGTCATGAAGTTGGCGTCATATATGACGTCTACGAACGTAATCGAACCACTGACATGTTATCTGCACATTTTTTCGTTCTTCTCGCATTTCGACCTTTCCTCTTGAATCACTGTAAAATAGAGGAAACCGCACACGGTTAAGAATGAGTTTATTTTTACGATAAGAGCCAGTTCTATTCGGAAATATTAGCCATTCACATAATTAGCATCATGATTGATATTTACTGATAAGTATTCTAATGAGTTGACATATGATCGGATGTATGTTTGTACAGGCCTGTTTGATTGTCGAAAACTAGGTAAACATAGCTGAAGGATGGGAAATATTTGACCACGATGAAGATGTTGAAGTGTTTGTTATACAAGTGCGTCATTTTTCTCCGATTTGTACTAGACAAACTTAAATCAAACAAAGCAACATATTACAAGAAATTATTGAGTTGATTGAACATTTGAGATACTCATAGATTCCTTCAATCCTCACATTTTTCCATGTAATTGTCCTTTGAACCGGCGAATCTGAATCACTTAACCTCAATTATATGACTTCAGCTGAACACCCAGGTTATTTCTTTTTGTCTGTTTCTTTAATATTCAACTATTAGCCTGTCACATATATTCCAATCAGAGGAAGTCGTATATCAAATGCCTTGAAGTGCAATATTTTCATCTTAATATCGACAATTGCTCACCATCTGGCTGTATATGCTTTCATTTAGGGATTTCCCCATGACAAGTCGCAAATCCAACGGTCCAAATGGATAGGCTCGAATGAAATTAGTGATGAAATTTGATAGTCTGGGTCGGATTGGCCCTCGACAGTTTGAGAGTGTATGCCTATGTAATAAAAACGAATCTGACTGGTCAACCGTGTTAGGAATCACACGTTGAAAGGTAAAACCTCGTTAGTCCTTAGCTCGCACAAGTTCTCAACTTCTGAGAGTCGTCGTTTGTATGGGAGCGACAGCTGATTAACGGAAAAACAGATTATAAACAGATTTTTTAAACATATTTTTGAAAACTTCATTCGAAGGTTCAGAAAGAGCTCTGACGAACATAAAAATTATTTATGTTCCACACATCTATTAATACCTGCGGTGATAGCTGTCAATCAAGAAAGTTTCGAGAGTCCTGACGAAATTTTCAATAAATAGAACGTGCAAAACAAAATTTGCTGCCGAAGAGATTAATAGTCGTCTTGAGTTATTTTCCAAAACATTCCATGTGTAGTTTTGTTTTTCGTATTATGGGAAAAAACATTTGGGAAAGTTTTTCTAAATACAGCCAGATCTGCACGCCAGATCCTTCCAGAATCCAGTTTTATCATCTATTTATAATTTGACACGCATGAGTATGGCAGTTTACGTGAATAATAACGAATGATTGAGATAAGGAATTAACTTTGTGTCACACAGTTGGTTGATCATGTAGTGAACTGTCAGTAAATATTTTTTCATGAAGCTTTCAAAAATCTGATATAATGATCCCTTTTTTAATGTTCAGGAAACTTACTGAAACATGTGTTTTTCTGATAGTCAACTGTCGCTTTCTTACGAACGACAACGAATAATAATGCACACTCAAAAAGCGGCCTAAGTTTTTATAAACACGACAGTCTAAATTTATCGGAAAAAATAAAATTGCTTTTTGGAGGCGGGATTATTTACAAAAAAATAAGAGATTTGTTCCATCAATGTACGAAATTGTACCATTGTAGGTAGAAAAATATAGCAGAAAATTGCACTCGTACGCCACTGCTCCAGTATCTAGGCAGCACCCGAAAGTTACCTGAGAAGAAAACAATGCCTTCAATTTTATCTTGCAAGTAGACCACGTCAGCTCCAATAAAAGTCGTGTAAATGCGTACTCAGAATCGTATATTGAGTCATGTACCTTACCTACCTTAAGTATATTTGCATTTAATGATGTTTGTTAAACTGCATGTTCACTTTAAGATGACGACAGAACGTATGACTTCTGTAGGAGCTGAGCATGATTCAACTGGACAAATTAAATCAACGCAAACATGGAAATTGAATCATTTGGGAACGTAAGAAAACAAAATTCCATTTTCACAAATGATAATGATGCAAATGATGAAGAATATTCTGTACTGGCAATTAGGTTATACGCGTTTTCTTTAGAAAACAATAATGATTTCCAGTTCTGGAAGTATCTTGTTCTGCACTAATAAGGAAGTGTTTCCTTCCACTAATAAACATTCCGATCATTTGTCTGTTTTGAGACGATGACAACGCGTTTTATGTAAACACCAATTATCGAATAATTGTCAATATGCATTTCTGTAATATACGTCCTGAATAAAAAAAATATTTGATGAGTATTTCTCTAAATGTTTGTCATGAATCGGAAAAAGCTGAGCTGGCAGTAAACATGCAAAATTCAAAATACTTAATAGAAAATTGATCTCACAAACTCCCCAAAAATTATGGAACGCTGAATACGGGGGCATATGATAAATAATGATTATCGATCCTGTAGCAAATACTCGAAAGAAACATAAAAATGTTGGTTAAGATGCATATTGATTGATGAAAAAAAATTATAAATAATATTTGAGCATATCAACAAATGATGTCTATAATTTACCACCAATGGACTTTTTTCTTTTACGCATGTGCTAGTTGAAATTATAGTTGAGTTTTCGACTATTAGTAAATGTCTCTTCTGCCACAGTGTATTTTTTTTCTATTGTAAATTGATCATGATCACTGTAATAAATCAGGAAAAACTGCTCATCAGATATGACCTCATTTTTGAACATGATGCGTTTCCCTGATTCTTATCGGAAATATCGATGTTGCGCGAAATGCTATAATGATTCAACTTCTTCATTTAGTAAACATACCTCCCACATCGTTCAGTGAGATCATATGCAAAATCTGCACACCATTCATCTTATGACGATCTCAAATAGCAGGTGTATTATGCAAATTATCCATCATTATACATTGATCAGTTTATAATACAACTCAGTAATGAAAAGTTGAAATTGTAGCGATTATTTGTATTGCTGTGAAATATCACTTTCAAGTTGAACTATTTGGGACTTCATTACAGCAAAAACTCCAAAAGATTCATGGTATCCACGGGAAGTCGGTCTTAAAGGATAGTAGTTACGCTCTCTAGAAGTTTAATACTAACAGTCCCCGAAAATATCACTCACATTTTTATTGATAATTATCTCTAAGGGAATGCAAAGTTGTGAAATGTTTCTTCAATACTGTTCCGTTCATGTACCAGAACATCCATCGTATCGTTAGGATCAACTGATGGTATCGGTCCCTAATGTTGTTTTGGCAAAAAAAAACTGTTTGAGCAGGAGTTCGTGGAATTTTAATAAATTCTGTTTTTAAAAAGTCTTGTCAAGTGGTACCTGTAAATGTACAATTCTTTCTCATTAAGAAGAGTGACACATATTCCTCTTGTTTCAGATGACTGCATCAACATTCCCCGTAGTTCTGAAAATAGGCCACGCTCACGGAGGTTTAGGAAAAGTAAAAGTAGACAACATAAACGATTTTCAAGATATGGCCAGCGTAGTAGCCGTAGCTAACACCTATTGCACCGTGGAACCGTACATTGATTCCAAGTACGACATTCACGTCCAGAAAATCGGTCACAATTATAAGGTGTTCATGAGGAAATCCATCTCAGGTGAGAAAATATCTATCATGATTCATTCATATAAATAAATATAATCATACCGATCTCTTTCTTCATTTTTTAATATACCAGTATGATAGCGTGTATATGGAAGAAAAACATGATACTGAATGATCATTGGATGGCATACTTGCAATTCTGAAGAGTCAACTAAAATATTGAAATTATTCATTTTCTTGTAGAACAGTCAATGTGTCTAGTTGTTTTCAGTGTTTATCCTTCTACAATCTGAAAAATAAACAAGTACAAATGAATAGAGATCTACTGAAGTGTAATATAGGACAAACAAAAAATTTCACCCCTAAAAGATACTGCATAATAAATATAGTTTAAAAAACTAAAAAACTCGCTTTTGAAGAACATTGAACTGAAGAGTTAAAAATATTTTTTTAAATAAGCTTTAAACAATAACGATATACAAAAAATATAGCACAAAGCGTCCAGGCTTTTTTCACAATAATACTAATATTTTTCCTTCGTTATTGTTTTAGGCTTATAATTCTAGTCACTAGTATTATATATCTTTAACAGACGGCGCACGAATGTAAAATTCCTCTCAAACAACATAATACAGTACGAGATCTTAAAATATATAGTAATACTGAGATGCAGGTTGTTATAGTATGTCTCCAACAGAGGGCGAACAGTTGTAAAATTTGTTTCGAAGTAAAAAGAAAATTTGCAGTAATAATTTCAAAAAACAATTCAGGTTTGATGTTTTGATTTGAAGTTTAATTCAAAATATTAATGGACTTTAAAAAATGTTCAGTGAATAATTTTATTTTTTAAATCAATCTTTTGATTTGATATGTATGTCAAGCACCTTAATTCTAATTTTTCGATTTTTTGAAATAATTGAGTAACTGAATTTTTTAGGGGAATAATTTACGATAACGTTTTCATTGTTGAAATCCATATTCTGATTTGCTTTCAACTAATCGAATTAGATTTTAAAATGTATCTTTCGTTTCGTTCAAAACTTTTTCTGTATCAAATCACGGGTTAATGAAAATATTTAAGTCTCATCTGTAGTACAAAATCTCGCTAACACTTATAATTCTTAAAATCCATTTTTTATTTTGTTTTCTTTTCTATCAAGGAGGTTACGTTCAGCGCCATCTGCCCGCGAATAGATCAAGCATGTTACGTACAGCGCCATCTGCCAGCGAATAGATCAAGCAGGTTACGTACAGCGCCATCTGCCCGCTATTGGATCAAGCAGGTTACGTATAGCGCCATCTGGCCGCGAATGGATCAACAAATATCACGGAAATTAAGTACAGCGCCATCTGCCCTTACGTACAGCGCCATCTGCCCGCTATTAGATCAAGCAGGTTACGTATAGCGCCATCTGACCGCGAATGGATCAACAAATATCACGGAAGTTACGTACAGCGCCATCTGCCCGCGAATAGATCAAACAATAATAATGTCGATAAGTCTGTCAATACAGATCCCGACCTTGGGATGCTTGGGAATTACAAGCAAACGAACACATACATACAGGTGAAACTAATATAAAGCGTTTAAATAAAAAATAATTCACTGAAGAGTCCTGTTAGACAGAAACTTGTTACCACAAATGGTTGAAGAAATAAAATTTCAGTTCTCAACTTTTAGAAAACAACTAACGTTTCCAAAACCAAACAACAGAAAATTCACTGATGAAAATTATCTCAAATGAAATCATATATATTTCCTTTGATAAACGTTTGTTCATTTTTCATATCGTATTTTAGCAAACTTAAGCTTCTCAGCGTTTCATACTATAACATATTTCTTTCCATTGTAATTTGTACAGGTTGTTGGAAGACGAATACAGGATCAGCAATGTTGGAACAGATCTCAATGCCTGATAGGTACAAGAACTGGGTAGATGAAGTTTCAGACTTGTTTGGAGGGTTGGATATCTGCGCCCTAGAAGTTGTCGTGGGAAAAGATGGACGGGAACATATTATAGAGGTAGGTAGTATTTTTCTCAATTTGGGAAATTGAAGCATATATAATAAAATGACATTGAAACAACTCTGGAATTTGTCGGAAATCATCTTATTGAAAAATTTACCAAACACAAAAGTCAATTTGGATATTTCCAAGTTCGTTTAAAATAATTCTGGAGAAAATTGTAATCCCTATAATGAATGCACCTGAAAATAGATGGTGTTTTCGTAGGAGGAAATATCATCGCCTTTACTTACTCAGGCTTGTCTTTCGGATAAACAAAATATAAAAATGTATCATACCACTTGCAAAAAAGCGTGAATTTTTACACTAATTTCACTATGGTTTCAGGGCTTACTGATTTTCTAAAGCTTCAAGTGGGTCTGAAAAAAATTAAAATCAGCTTTTGACATATCGTATCATAGTTTTTTATTGACCGAACCCAACAAATCGAAACTGAGTTTGTCTCATGGATGTTTCATGGTTCTCACATGTAACATTTTTAACAACAATACTATCAAATGATCGTCATCAAAACATTGTTTTTTCTAAAAAAATATGAGAAAGATGGTACTTCCTATTTATTCTCTTGAATTCAGGTGAATGATAGCGCGCTGACTCTACTGGGTGACTCCCAAGAAGAAGACAGAAGACACATTGCCGATTTGGTCACCTCCAGAATGCAAGCCATCTGCAGACCAAGGACCCCTCCTCCAGCTGAGGAACCCGTGCCCCCTCCGGTGGGTCCAAGAGGTATCCTAGGCAGTTTGAGTAGTTTGACACATTCTGAAACTCCACCTCCTAGCTCGACTTCCGATGTACCTTCCTTGGGGAGCGTCGGTAGAAGAGACAGTCAAGGTAAGTAAGAATTCCTCTTTTGCGTGAATGCACAAAGGAAATCATTCGTAAAGTCCCACAATTATATTGAAACACCGTTGAGAGTTAGGATCTTTATTCATAGGGAAAACAGCTGGTTGAAAACAACAAATTTTCAACGAAGACAATCGTTATTCTTCAGGTAGAGGTAACCATCGATTTGATCAGTGGTCTTGGGTCTCATAATTATTATCTGATGAGAAATTTCAAATAACAGAAAAAAATGTGTCAAACAAAACAGCTTTTATAAAAACTAGATAAAATCAGATTGTTTCAATAATTTGTAAAAATTGGATTATCAATTCAACATGTATTCATGTAATATCATTGAAACTGCAATGATAATAACAATTCAATGGGGTTTTCAGAATAATACGCAAAAAATTATAGGTGTGAAATTAGTAAAATGACTCCGGTGGATATTTACGTCATTTTGACCCTCTTGGAAGCATTGATACGTTAAATAGTCTACCTTATGATCTTGTAATCATAATTATCTGTTGAGATTTTTTGACGAATCAGGAATCTGAAACTTCTATTATCTAGTTGTTTGCAGCAATACTTGATCAGAGTTGTTTTATGTATAGTAAGTAAACAGAGAACTATACAAAAGTGGAGAATTTTTACCGATTGTCAAATTAGTTCAGGCCTTCGATAAGAGATGTCGTGTAGCATAATATCCGACTATCAAAATAATGTCAAATGATGAAAAAGTTGAGATTTATCATGGTTTTATCACTTCTATCAATTACTCAAAACAGTCCTGCAGAAAGTTCACATTCGTCTTGAGCTCTCTTCGTGAATTACCAAACCTTCCGAGTAGTATCCTATAATTATGATCAAATTAGTAATATCTTTCGATAAAAGATGTCGCTAGGAGAAAGAGTTCGGTAATTTCACTCTCCATACATTCTACGGAGTGTACTTATAGTTCGGATAGAGTTCTTTATTGATTTTTTCACAATCTAAAAAATATATAAACTGCAATGAATTAGTTACTGTGTAAATATTTTTCACGAAGGAAAATGTACCTATTTATCAGTAACTTGACGTATTTGATAAGTTTGCCTTTAAAAAATGCTTAACGTTTCAGAGACTAAAGTTTGTTTCCGTCTTCAGAATTGGAAAAAATCAAATGGTACACTTATAGTTTTTTTTTTGGTTTTTTTGGTTCCTTTCATTTTGAAAAGTTTTTTGATAAAACAATTTCTCAACAATATTTGCCACCTCCAATATTTCCGAAGCGACAGATTTTACTATTGGAGAGATACCATAAAAAAGTTCACTGGAATTAAATCTGGAGATCGAGCGGGCCATTCTATAAAACCGCGCCTAGCTGTTCACTATCCCGAGGACTTGGAAACGTCTGGTGTTCTTCTTCTTCTTCGGTATCCATACAACCGTATGAACATCGTTCTAAAAAAGTTAGAGACTCCATTATTTCTAACTACCAACTCAAAAACCTCCTTCAATTTTTTTACAGTAACGTTAAATTATTGGTTTCATCACATGTGTATGTGTATTATTATCATTAATAATGACTTTTCAGCTTCCCAGTCAAGCACAATTAGCAGCGCACCCAGTACAGGACGTCTTCCAGAACCTCCACCCAGACCTTTCCAGAGACAGGGCAGCCAGTCCTTAGCGGAGGATACAGAAGATACCATGAAAAACCTCAGAAAAACATTTGCCGGTATTTTCGGAGACATGTAAACAATTCCATTGTGTTAAAAAGAAACACTTCATTTTCAATGGTTAGGAAAGAGAGGTACCATTTGAAACTCATCGCTGAAATCGACTCCTAAAGCTAGCCACTCACGTGTGTAAAGGCGTCCGTAGACGAGATGGGTTTGAAATGTTGCGGTTTTGAATTTTGCTAAGCAATATGTTGAAATATGATATGTTATTCACTGCCTTGGGCCTGGTACCGTCGGTATCTCTTGTTATGTTAGCGTAGTTGTTGATCTGGATGTACAACAGTCATGTGTTTTGATGTTCGTTAAAGTTAATAGGAGATTTTTTTATGAACGGGGTGGAAAGCTTATGTGAAACTAGCAATTAATCAAGAAGGCTTCACTCAAAAACAAAATATTCGGGATTGGTAAGACCAATGAAGTAATTTCATTTTGAGTAAAGCTCTCCGACGTCTTTTTCTCTCCCTAAAAGTAGGCTATCAAAACGTATGAAATGACAATATTCCTATGTCCTAATTTCGCACTTGTAAATGTCTTGTGTAGTGTAACCATTTTTCTGGAATTTTCAAAGATCTACCGTTTTTTCATCGATGAATATATGGCAACGAATTCCCGTTTATATTATTAATCTAAAGAATTGTATTCACAGAATAGTGCTTTGACATTTCTCTTCATTTCTCAGTCAATTCATCACAACCTTGATATGTTTGTTTCCCGACATTCAATTCATGAAAGATTTATACTGTATTTTTACTCAAGGCCAAATATTGATTCCGTGAATATGATACTTTCGTTCTTGAAGGGCAAAAGTTTCACGAACTCTTCAGAAAGGTTCATTCGAGATGATGAGGTTAGATTGGAAAGTGAAGTCAGGAAAATTGATCGAAAAATATGTCGGATGAATGTGATTTTTTTTTTGCTGAATTCTATATATTCTGCATCTTATGCTGTTTTCGATCAATATTCTCTAGACCGAATACTATGAGTTGTGAATACTGTGGAATCTGTCAATATACGAATAGGCCTTAAATTACTAAATTAATGTAATGATAAAGCCATAGATTTTACATGATATCTAGTTATGTAAGTATTATGTAGCTTCATTGTTACCTCCAGAGTCTGTGGTTGGTAACGTAGGAAATTGTGGTAGTTGAGTTCTTTAATAAATTGCTTTTTACATTTGTTCTCCAATTCAGATATAGCAGAATATGATATTTTCGAAAACAAACTTATCAACAGTCGAACAATCTTTCCTCAATTCCATATCATAAATGTGAAATGGAAAAGAAATGCTTCAGAAACTAGAGAGAAAGGTTCAAATTCGTCCTTCAAATTCATCAATATGCTATTTTTCCTTAAATATTACTTTTTCAAATAAATACCGATGTACATATATGACATTTTCCACAAATAACTTGAAAACATATTTATAATAATTGCATACTCGATAAAACAAAGCAATAAACAACAATTGTTTACAGTCTGATCGGTAATAAGACATTTGTTATTTTGAAGACGATTCTTTTCAATAGGTTTCATAAAAAACTTCCACTGAAAATAATTAAAAGTTTCTCGAAGAATAAATACTATGTGAATCGTACCATATCATCTTCTGGTAATAAATTGCTTAGTCTGTAATATTTGTTAATAATGTTGTCGAAAGTTTTATTGTAAATATTATGTGTCCTCCATTTTAGTAACCATCTGTTTATCAATACTCAATTTGATATTTGAAAATACTAATGATCTGAATGAAAAAATATTCAACGATTTAGATATTATGGGCAGGGTTATTGCTCTTCAAATTTTATTTGACTCGATTTTGTTGGAATAGAATGGGGGTAACAAATCCTGAGGTTGTGTAGTAGAACAGCTTGTGAAAAGTTACATTTGGGCATACTGTATAGTGTTATATTGATGGATATTTAAAGAAATAAATAATAAATCATTCGAAAACCTCAGTGTCTGATTTATATTGCTTCAAGTCGCTGAATTTTTAATAAGTATGGAAGAAATTAACTTGGAAGATTTGAAATATTATTATTTCGATTAACAGTTTATATTATATTGAAACTGATTTTTTTCCGATTATGGAAGTGGAGAGTACCGTAAAAAAATGTCGATAAATATCAGTGTTTCACTAAAATTTTAAATATAAATTTCAGAAAGTTCAATATAATATTTTTTTTCGACCTTTGATGAGTGAAACATATTGAATCGTTACAAATAGGGCAAGTACTACCCATACATATTTGTTTCTTAATTTTTGTCAGATTGTCCAAAGAATGTCATAAAGTAAATAATACCTGCGCATTCGCCAAAAAAGACAAAGTTTTGAAAATAGTTGCCAGAACTGAGCGAAGCAATCAAAGAAGTGTATCCACAAGGAATGAGAAGTTCAACTGAGGACTGAGGAGTTCAACTGAGGATTGAAAGTGCGACTCTATAAACTCATTTAAAAACGGATGAAGAAACTTTATTTGCTGTGAGACCATCTAACATTATGAAAATATCATCCAATTTTTTTTTCCATAAAAGTTCACGAAATAAGAGACACATATCCATCACATACATTTCTACACATAACACTGCTCAGCAATTGAAGTGGATATTATGAAATTCTCCGATAGTAAGTTAAAATTCCGAAAATGAAATAACATGATTGAATATTTATTGATTCGTGTTTTGATATACATAAATGAAGGAAAAAATCACAAAAAAGTAGCAAAATCCCAGGCAGACAGAGATTGAAATTGTGAGAATTATGCATAACTAGGCCTTGAGAGTCAAATGTGATTGAAGAATAATGTCACCTAGTTCTAATTTAATTTCATGTCAGTTTTATCGTTATTCTGAAAAAGCGTTTTATTGCTGTAAAACTCTGTTTTGTTGGTCTAGGTTTCAGTTCTACTTCAATTTTTCCCCATAAGATAATGTTTTCTGTGAAAAATATCGATGGAAAAATATTTTTAGCGAAACGTGTTCATTGCAGTTTATCATAAATACATATTTCCCGCTATTATTGGAAGAAATCGTATTGTTCTGATATCTGGCAAATGAAAAATGGATTTACTCTTTTTCGTTTTCCTGCAGCCACAAGGACTCTACAACAATAAATATACTATTATTATAAACATCTGCGTGATTATTCTGCTAATTTTGTGAACCTGCTAGAAGCAGAGATTTATACATATGACAACATTGAATTTGTTCCTATGGTATCATATCATTACCGGTTACAACTATAGCCGCCACTAGCTGTAGCTGATTTGTAATGAAGCTAAATTCACGTGTGGATATCCCCACAGCTGTAGCCACTTGTCCTGCGGGATCATCCACATGTGGACTTAGCTTTATTACAAACCCTTCTGTCACTGATGACAGCTACAATCAAAATCAACCTAGCAATCTATGAAAGCACCTACATCGAACCGTCCCCAATTAAACCCATAATAAACAAACGAAACCAGGCTAATCAGCAGCCGATTCGCTATCAGTTCGGTCGCCGTTTTCGATAACAGCTCGAGCAATTTTAACAACCGCGGGACGGAAATTGTTATCGCTAGTACCACCGCCACATATCAACTTTCCGGACGGTATGACCGTATACAGAATCGAGCCGTTCGAGAAGTGCCATCGGGAAATGTTCGGAGACCTGGTGCTCACCTGTCAAACGCCCATACAGGGCGAGCTGCCGCGAAGGCTCGTCCTGCCCGTGACGTACAGCGTCGAGGTGCGACGGGCGTCGGCAGATTCGGCGACCAACACGAGGATTTTGGAAAGTGAGAAGAGACGCGCTTCTGCTCTCGTAGACGAACTCCTCATGGACATTTATTACAGTGTGCACAACAGTACGGATTACAATTCTACGTCGGGAAAGTCGCACAGGAGCTCGTGGGTGGAAGTCGTCAACTTGGAGGAAAAAGGTGAGTTTGGATTGGATGATAAATATTCGTTTTGAGGGCACCCGGCGATTTTGAAAAAATGTTTGAGTGTACTTACGTATTTTACGAATACGAAAGAAAGAAGTGGCGCTCTCCCTTATTTACAAAGTTACGGCCCTTTAAAGTTCAGAAAAGGGCAACTTTTCAGCCTTCTTTTTAACAAGATAAACTATTTGAAAACACAAGCATTTATTCCCTAGGTCACCTTTACACCTTATTTCTCCTTCCTTGACACTTTTCACTTCAACAATCAACACTTTTCCAATAAAAATGTTGAAAAAATGTACGGAGCAGCTTTTTGGTTATATATCTGTGTATTTTACGTTTATTAATGGCATGTTTGGTACTACTGATGGTGTCAATTTTCCTAAAGTAATTCAAATGTTTTTTCCTTCATTCTTTATATCGAAATTGATTTTTGGTGGTGTATAACGAATTGAAATAGTAGGCGGTGGCAAATACCAACCACTTTTTTCTGAAATGTCACTAACAACTAACCTAGAAATAGAAGAATGTCACCAGAAGCATTCGTTTTTAAATTAAGTTTTTCTTAAGAAAAATGTTGATTGTTGATTTGAAAAGTGTCAATTAAGGAAGAATAAGGTGTAAAAGTGACCTTGTGAATAAATGCTTGTGTTTTTGAATAGTTTATCTTGTGAAAAAGAAGGCTAAAAAGTTGCTTTTTCTAAATTTTGAAGGGCCGTAACTTTTTAAATAAGGGAGAGCGCCGCATTTTTCTTTCGGGTTCGTAATCTACGCATCAAAATACGTAAGTACACTCAACCATTTTTTCAAAATCGCCGGGTGCCCTCTCAAAACGAATATTTACCGCTGATGGTATAAATTAGTTTTAGGATGGGCTATCATTTACCACTATGCTATAAACTCTGAAAGAATATTATTGTGAAATCGATCATGATGAGACACTATTTAAAGCACTGCTAGTGTACTATTTTGGTGTTTTTTTTGTTTTTAATTACTGTGATTGCCAACTAGAAAAAAAGATTAAGGGTGATACTAATAACAGATGTTTTTAGAACAAAAAAGACTTTTTCCTAAGAGATCTCTCTGTTTCAATAGTATCACCAGCAAATTTGAACTTTATTGACATCTGCAAAGTTGTAGATGGGGTGAAAACTCCACTTATTTAGTAGAAACTCTAGAATCAACTAGTTGTCTTGCAGTAGGTGATACCGAGAAATATAGAAAACGATATACGAGCTTTGCTTTGCAACCTCGTTGATTATTGATTTTCGTGTTTTGTATCTTCTTATCGATCCCATAGGTGGCGTCCTCGTAATGGAAAATTTCAATACTCACCACTCAAACTCTATATATGATGTAACTGATGCATAATTTGTAAATGTTGTATTGAAGTTCCTTCTATAAAATTATGTTCTACTCGCCTCTTGTAGGAAATACATTTATTTCCCCTTTGTGAGTAAACATTTTTTGATGTGTCTCAAATCAAATTCCAGCTTGTTTTACTACTAATTAACAACAGCTGTCCTTCACTAGGATGACCGTATCATGTACCAACCGTATTTTTCTAATAAAACTTTCAATTAATGAAAATTCAGCGAATCCTTATTGAACTTCAGCGGATGGTACAATCAGATTAATATTAGTGCTAATGAAATTGGCCCACTAAAAATATTTTCGGGTCAGTTTTGTTGATATCTGTAAACAAAATTTGACTTGAATAAGTTCGTCCACCTGTTGGAAATAACACATCACGCTGATCAATATTGTTTAAATTTATGGGGTACATAAATTATACAGTTCATCGAACTCAATTGACTTTGACCTGCTGTATATTTTTCTTTCGTAATTTAGATAAACAAATTTTTCATGAATGAATTAGTGATACTAGCTCTACTGGCTTTAAACTTGAGTTGTTTTTATTATTTCCATGTAAATAGGTCATTTTTTCAAAATTTTCATTTTTATAGTTTTCAATACCGATTGTTAGTATGGCCCGATTTCATGCTTCACAAACACAATATAAAAAAGTTGATATGAGTCAACAGATAACTCAACACAAAATGTATAAATTCTAAGGCTGTGAGAAGTGAGCCAAGTTAGCTAGTAGGGAATGGATGAAACTGAAAAAATACTTATTCAGGTGTACTTACTCTATATATATTATGTTCACGAATAATTGTGATAATGTTCATTATAACGTCTTCAATGTGCAAAAATAGTAAATCTCATCCTTGTTTTGGTATTTATTTTTCAGAGGTCGCAGAACTGTCATACATCATGACATGCCTGACAAATTATACAGAACGGATGGGCAGCGTCTTGGTGCGCCAGTTGAAACGTCGCGACGCCTTGCGTCGTCAGCAGGAAGCGTATTGCGACGTCATCACGAGGAAGCTACAGGAACGTAAGTATATAATCGATACTGCAAAAAACGACGGATTGTAGAGTATAGTGATGTTGGTTGGCGGGAAAATATACGCATGATGATAATAATAATTGAATTTTTTGTCGAACCTGGAAATATGAACGTGTGTATTTTGAACAAAATATTACAACAATATCCTTTTTATGGCTGAACCATTAAGTTGATTGCAAATATTTTTTCATTCAATCTAAAAATTAAAATTTCAAATTCATTTTTGCGTTTCTTGATAAAAATCGAAATAATTCAAATAATAGGCACATCTTTTGATACAGTTGATGTGATAAAGCAGTGATCCAATTCTTTATAAAAACACAATTAAGAAAAAGATATATGAGAGTATTCAAACCTCTTAACAGCCGTCTTTCGAACAATATTTATATCAGAAAAAAATAACATATTTCCAACCCACCCACCTATCTACAGACATAACGTTGCTTTCGTGAAACAAAGAATTTTTCAAAAAGCTCAGTAGCTTTTCTCCAATAAGCATAGCATATTATGAAAGGTGAAAAATCGTATCTTAAAATGCCTATACCGACGCTTCAAATAAATGTGGGCGATTTCCACCCATAAACGCACCCCGCAACAATACCCTGTAGAATTCCGATTAATACTCCCAAAACCTTGCGTAAATAACACTGCTTCCCCCAATCTACGCAAACTCGGGTTTCGATCTTTCAGCGCGACCCCAAAATGTACCCCTTTCGCCATCCTCGTCCAATCCTGCGAATCAAATAAGGATCGAAAGCAGGACGTAGCGTTTCTCTCTAAAAGACTTACACCTGATAACTCGTGGATTTGGCCAGCAGTCAGTTCGTCAAGAGATATGTTCTGGTGCAAGACATGTACCAATGAGCGGTTTCTTCAGTTCCATCAAGAAGGCTACGAGTGCTAGTGTTGATGGTGAAGGCAGTTCCAGTGAGTAGGCAACTTCATATTGATCACTCTGGTACAATGTCAAATATTTGTTTTCAACAAGACCCTAGTTCGGTCTGGTTGTCGAAAATATTAGGCATAATCCTTTTGTGGAACCCAGAAAAGTGACATTTTTCTCTCTTCGAGTGTTGTTGATAGTTTCCCAATTGAACGTTACACATTCCAAAGTGTGTAATTTTAATATTCGATGTCATCAATCTTTGATTCTTCTCGTCTTTATCAATCAACCTGTGGAACAGTATTCAACATTGGTCAAACCAGAGCCAGTTATTAAACGCATGCTCCAAGACATTTACTTTTCTCTTCTGTTATGTTTATCTTCTATATTCCAATATAATGATCCATATTTTCTAATATTTCGAAATAAAAAAAAATACATTAATTTGTCTAAAAGACTAACAATAATCAATTTACAAAATGGTTTAGAATTTCGCGGCTGAGGTTTTCAGTGTCACCGTTTTTCCAGTTTGAAAGCCGTGGATTTTTGTAATTTCTTTGGCTTTCAAACTCGAAAAACATCGATACTGAATAATCAATTTAATAAAAAACTGAAACATAAATCCAAATATATTCCCTGAGCGAAAAAAAAACTTGCATCTAATAGAAAATTCTTCAAGTTTTTTTCAATTAGGCAGATAATCGAACAACCTCAAACAGCTGTCGCCGCAAGACGATAATTTTTTAAGCGAAATATAAATAAAAACCTACAATATTGACATTTGTTGGATTATGGAGCAATAACTTTTGAGAAAACCTGTTATTTATTATAGAAACTACAAAATTTATTTTTTCGATCCAAAATAGAGCCACGTGATACTCCAATAAACATTGAAACTTAATTATATTTTACCTTTCCCATTCCATCCACCTAATAAAAATTTCAATTAACAAACTTTTTCAATCATTCGACTACCATTTCAGTTGTATCTCTGATACTATATGTATCTACTTTTTTATCAATATATCGTAGTTGGCGCATTCAAAGCAAAGCAAAAGCAAAAATTTTTTTTATTAAAATAAACTATTTACATGCCTACATTTCATGAGGTATTCGAATGCCCTTACTTAGATCACAAAATAATCAGTAACGAGTAACCGTCCAAAAACAACTTCAAAATACTGATCAGGAGAAATTATCATTTGTTTTCGAGGAAGTGAATCGAGACGACTCAGAAAACAGTATTTGAAAATGTTACTTTACTCGGGGGATGGATTTTCAACGATCATTACACTAAGGTATCAAAGATAATGAATAGTATTTTTTTTTGTATGGAAAATGTTTCAATCTGAGCCAAAAAAGCACCAGTTGATTAATGAAATCTGATATGATAGTATAATTAGAAATATATCCATCTGTATTCAAAAAATGTGGGAACTTTCTCATCTGGTTAAATTGGATATGAAAATTGTTTCTATTCTCCAGCTCTTGTGTTTACGTCTTCATTATATAGTTATAAACAAATAAGAAAATTTATAAATAGTTTACCTATCTGATTTTCACCCAGTACATAAATGTGCTCGCTCTCCTTAAAAGTCTATCAATATTTTCACCAATACTTTTCCTTTTATCAGCAGCTATTATGACAAAGGAAATGATGGAAAATTCCAATAAAGGAAAGCCGCCACAGCAATAGGAACAGAATTCCATTCGGTGTTTCCAAATTGGTGGAAAGGCTTTGCCTGTTCTTCTCCTGATAACGGACACAAAAAGATCGATCACTAAACAACAGACGGTCTCACATTTCCACTTCTGAATCATAATGGATGATGCCTGGAGATTGAGTTCCATTCTTATATCAGCGGCACAACATCAGATGGAAACTTGTGAATAGAATGATGAACAATACAAGTAGACTGGTATTCAGTTGAGAGGCTTTCAATATTCGTTGAAAATGGATTTCTATCAGTTTCTGCCTCCATTCATAGAATAGCTTGCTAGGTATATATACTAAAATTATACAAGACTCTAAGTATAAACGAAAGGGAAATATTGCTCTGACTTTAAAAAAACAATTCGGATCATTCGCTTGGAATAACACTTCGGTGAAAGCAAAAATAAAACTGGATACGTTTTATTTCGTTTCGCATAAAACTGGCGTCCTGCTTCTTTTCGCGTGTTCCGTAAAAATGTTTTCCTTTGCATTCCACGATAATTTCAACAGCAAACTGTGCGTGCAAATAGGTCGTTGATGGTGAATTGATCCGGATTTATATAGATTAAAGTGGTATATTCTTTGAGAAAAGGACAATAGAATATAATACACAAAACAAAGTCACAAAATTCGTGTTAGTTAAACTATTGATTGATAATTCAAGAGCAGTTGGACCGATTTCCAGAATTATTGGTTATAAAAATACCGTCTTCGAATATCGATTATAGAATTTCGAAAATAGGAGACTCTTCAGAGAATAGACCACTCAGGATTATTTTCAACTGATGGCATCATATTTGCAATCGAATGTATCCATTATATTCTTCGCATGTATTCTGAAACGAATGTTATCACAAAATACTTACTCCCACTAATAGTTATTCAACATATTATCCTTTTGGCATAATCCTCTCGAATATAAGTTGAAGCATCCCTTTTGATAGAAATATTTATCTTATCGTCATTTCATTACATTTTCCTTACACTTTACCGCACGTCTCTGGTCTTATTACAAATTTCCTGGGAGAAAAGTTATGAATGCATCATCGTCTTTTCGCGGTTTATCAGATACAGCGAGACTAGAAGGAATTTATTCGGTGTCAGATTACGTCGCAAATTCTCAGTTGCTTTTGATTGATATATCTCTGGAAGTGAAATGAGACCTGTTACGACTTCAGTATCTAATTTTCCGAAAAATTCTCCTCAAACTCAGGCATTCGCGAAATGATTCCAATGCCTTTTCCTATTAAATATTTCACTGAAGAATATAAATGTCGAAACCTTTCTTTCTCAATTTTTTTGCATTGAAAAAAAATATTTTCTTAAAACTATTGTTTACATTCATAGCAGTTGTAGCCATATTCGCATTTACGTGTAATGCAAACTCAGAATTCGTATAATGGAAGATGTTTTCTGCAGTTAAACTGAGTTGAAAACTGTCAAAAATCCCACTTTACTGAATTTACGAAATAAACTTTGTTTTTCACATACTTGCAATATATTTTCAATCGATAATTTTTATTATTATTGTGGAAAAGCTGAGACCAGATTTGTTTGTAACTCATGTTCTGAAAATTATGAGTGGTGTTTTTTTATTGAATTATCTTATTTCAGGTGATATGAAGTAAAAGTAGCATTAATATTGAGAAATTTATCAAATAACTGGTGAAATTTGAAACTTTTTATATTTATAAAACTGTTAAGTTGAAATGCGATGAATTGAAGTAGTGGAAAATCATAACAACACGATATGCCCACTGACATTTTCACAAGATAGAGAATCTATTTAAAATCTTTATTAGGTCTTCATATATAACGTCAATTTGATTGCCTAAGTCAAGTCACACCATTAAACAATTTCCAGCCATCCAAAAGTCATTGATCTTTCATCCTGGGCTCAAATAACCTAATAATTTCCAAATGGAGTACATTTTTACATAAATGCAATCTAATCCATTTCTCAAATTCAACGAGATAAGTTCCATGTGGTTCTAATATAAAGAAGCAGAGAGAGATAACATATATCACAGTTCTTCGAACAATTAAATCTCTCCGCAAATAACATTTTTCGAAGAAATCTTAACTTCTCGAATGGGTCGTAACTTTTTATAGGCCTATTCGAATAAATAGATTGAATTTTTACCGCGTAACTAAACCGAAAGTTCAGAGTAGATAAGTGAATGTTTAATTATTTCGCTCCAACTCCTTCTGAGTTCCACTGCACTGCAACCATTAAAATGGAAGGTATCATTAAATGGAGTACAAATACCGACCCGCCGTTAATTACCAACTTTATGTCGATAATCATAATTCCACACCGAAATGGATAATAAATAGATCATTTATTTGGAAAGTACTGCCACAGATAAAGCATAACACTGTCAAGTTAAAAACAATATCAAAATGGGCTATCGCATTATCGACTCTACTAGTAGTATAATTTTCAGTTTTGTTCTTGATGATTTTTTGCAGGTCTGCCTCAAAGTGCAGCTCCAGAGGACATGCGTTTTATGATCCAGCCCTTGCCAGGTGATACGGGATTTTCACAATGGTGCGCCGCTATGAAAATGGTCGCACAGCTTCCTGGTGGAATTCCCCCAGAGTTCAGGAATCGTCTGTGGTTGACCCTGGCAGAAAGACATTTGGCAGCTAAAGGTAAAGTTGAATCATTTGACAAAAGGAAAAGTGGGATCTGAATGATATAATATACAGGCTAATTCAAATCAAGTGCGTACTCGATTGTTTGAATTAGGAAATTTTGAATTTTTATCCTAAATTAAGATTAAAGAAACCAAAATAGATGAATTACGCAGTTTTTTCTTTTTGTGTAAAATATATTTTTTTCCTCATAAAAATCCCTGTATGCGATATCTTCACAGTCAGGAAATACCGTTTCAATTGTGAAGGAATATGATAATTTCAATAGTAAAATCGTAAAATGAAAAGCAGAGCTCTTTGTTAAGAAGTTAGGTACTTTTGATTCCAACTTGACAATCGATGAACACAGCTGCACGTAGAAAAAACAACGCAACGCTAAAATCATGCCGCACTACAACAAGCACTCTGCTTAATAGTCAGAGATCTCAAAGTCGCGGGATTCATAGACCAGTGCAGAAGCCTATTAGAAAAGCAATAAAGAAAAATTAATAACGGCATCAGGACTATTGGAATATGTAGAAAATGATGTGCTCCTGATTGGAAAAATGGACTTATATTCATGAAGCTACCGATAAAGTTCGTCAAATTAGGAAGAGACATGACATAAGAACATTATTCACAGCTATCAAACAAATCTACAAATTTTCAATACCACCTGAGAATACGATACCCAATGAGATACAGGCATAAATAAAATACCATAATATCATGTTCCAGGACTAACATCCTTCAGACTGTCCTAAATATCATCAAACGAAATGAGTGAATTATATCCGCCACACATCTCACAACAGAAGCCACATTTCTGCAAGTCACAACCTCGTTTTTGCTCACCATGGATGAACCTGAGGATACTCAGTCCTTGCTTGGGAGTAGGCAGATTAAGATCTCAGTACCTACTTTCCAGTTCTTGAATATACTAAAAAGTCGAAACCGAAACGTCGAACAACTAAAAATTTTAACTGCGATTCAAAATGTATTTCAGATACTGAAGTAACAGTAATAGTAGATAGTTTTACCATTTTTCTAACCGAAGATTTGATTTAACAAGAAATTTGTTTTTAATTTAGTTTTTTTACAGGAGTCAACTGGCCAGAAGTGGAAAGAACTTGTTTCAGCGAATGGTCTCATCCCGCAGATGCCGAATTAGGAGTTCAAATTGTTAAGGATCTACACAGGACAGGCTGCAGTTTATTTTGCGGGGAGAATGGACAAGAAAATCAAGCCCTATTGAAAAGAGTTTTACTGGCTTACGCTAGATGGAACAAAGCCGTAGGTAAGATAAACCACCATTTTTTGCAAATAAATGAGGTACGTTTTTGACAATTTGAATGATGAGTATGTGTTCATGAACGGTAGATTAACATCGTTTTATATCAAACTCAAAATTGACATTCGATAGAAGTGACCGAGTTCTTCGCCATTTTATTATATAATAATGGTAATTTAGGCCACGGTTGCAACGAGGAAGATATTTTCATGCTGCTACATTTTGGATTGTTAGCAGGTGTGCTAGCGAACATGAAAATATATTATTTCAATTCGTTGTCAGCAGAAACATTTTAATCCATACAAAGTGTATTCCCTTGTTTTATCTCGAACTAATTATTTTTTCATCATACCCAGAGTTTAATTATTCAAGCCAAAACACGCCTGTGGACTTTCCAATCGGGACATTAGTGGGAGAATTTATAATTCACTCATCTAATTTAATTATATTCCGTGCCCTTTTACACACTCGCTGATTAGAATTTCCAGTGGGTTTTTCTCTGCTTCGGCTGGCGACATATCTTTGTCATCAGAAAATGAAACCTCTGGGAATGCGGAGGTACGAAATGTTTTTCCTTACTCGAAATACTTTGATTATAAAGTACGATTTGGAGAAGATACAGTCACATAACAAGAGAAAAGACAGGAATTTCGTAACTAGAAAAAATCAGAGAGAATTCAACTAAAATGATAATATAAGAATGTAGGCTTTCACGGCTGGCATCAATGTTTTGGTTGGTTCCCGGGTTTTTGTCTTCTTTGGTTACAATCTCATACGTTTCAACTGCTACTGCGGAAGTCATCTTCAGTGGTGTGGTCGAAGTACTCTTCTTGACGTATCAACTGAAACGTTGTCATAGAATAATTAATCTTACGGCAAGAGAGATATAAAGAGTGTAACGTAAAAACCTGATGTGTTCCTTTTTAGTGCATGTGAATGAACGTCTATTTGAAAAAATGATTTTTCCATCAATTTAGTACCTACTTCTATAGAACGGCTCTTCCTACTCCCCGGTCGTATATAATCCCCTCATTATTTATGTAATATTCCATCGACGGACGCCATATAATGAGGTCGCTAATGGGGAATCGATAATGTTGTTCTTTGACGGGAGAACGTGCATTTAAAAAAGAAACTGAAACAAGCAGCGAAACGTTTTGTTGAACACGGACTCCAGTTTGATCCGACGTTTAATATCCCTTTGTTTTCGAAGAGCTCCGATCAAGTTGAAAGGTATCGCAAATACGTTTTTTTTCGGTAAGTTATGACTGTTATTTCGTGCGATGCTTTGCAGGATGTGGGGAGCGTATTCCTGCGAAATTATCCTGTTATGAGTTCAGCGTTGAACGACAACAGAATATATGGATATACGTCTCCGCCCTCGTCTGCTGTTTTACGTCCATTGCCCCTATTAAACATGTTTTATTAACAAATTAGCAAGAGCAGGGACTGTTTTGGGTTTTGATGGAGGCGGCAGTGTAAATTTTGTTTTCTCATAAGAAAACAATCCTTCAATTCAAATTTGACCTTGAATATCAACAATTTATATATGATATTCAGAAACCTCATTACCTTAATAGATGATTATATGATTATTGGCTCTGGGATTTAGTTTATTAAATCTGTGAAAGAGTTTTACTCAAAACCTGATTTGACTAGTGAATGACACTGTTCAAGAATAATTATCCAAAATTAATATTTCCCTTGTAATCAATGATTCATCTAGTCAATTGCCTCAAAAAAAAGTTACTATATGTTTTCTTCAGTGTATATCATCACTTCTATATTATTCGATTCGCCCCGATTTTGCTTCGCTTCCATTCTGCTCTGATCCTTTTAGAAAATTATATTTCCCGGAAGAAAAGGTGGATTTATCATTCGCTCGCAGTATTAGAACTAACCGGTGCTGGAAGAGTTTACTCAATATCAGATTACGTCAGGATTTCTTAGTTGCTTTGATTGATACTCCTGCCTGAAATTTGAAGGAATTTGTACATGTTACAAACCGCGTTATGTCCAAGTATGCACAAAATTGATTGAGAATGTCGTTATTTTTCTTGTAAAATATAACCATTACTCTATGGGAGTTTACTACATATTATAAAATAATGTTTGACCGCCGCGCTTGTCTTTCCGAACACATTGAACTCAAAAACAACCGAAGAAATGTTCACATTACTCCTATTTATATAAATTATTCGAATTAAAATCCGTTACTTTTTTCCGCGGAAACTAACTTCTTAGTAAATAAACAACGAGAAATATCGTATATGTCTCTATATGATCATTCAAAAATATTTGTGTTCAACTCAAAAAATAAAAGTGGTAAAAAAAATCTGCGAGTTCCAGTTTTTTCAATCCGAAACGTGTAAAAATAAAGACCATTGAGAAAGCAACCGCTAAAGGAAGCCCCGATCGCTTTGAAATAGGATTTCCTCATGTTAAAATTTCTGATAAACATGAATGTGGCAGAGAAGTTTTTGTTACCTATTAGCATACTCAAAGTTGAAACTTGTGTTTAATTTGAAAAATAAAAATGGTGAACGAAATCTTCAATCGATTCATAATGGTTAAAATCAAAATCTGATAAAAATTCGTCAAAAATTAGGTACAGTCAAACGAAAAGAGGAGACCCAAAAATTTATAAACAGACCATGTGATGCATCGGAAAATATATATAAATAGGAAGTACAATCGCTTTGCAAAATTGGCACATTTTTGTAAAAAATATTAAAAAATTCCGAAAAGTCTACCGCTCATCAAATTTCATAACCAATTACCACTCTTTCATTAAATTCAATTAATTTTCATATTATGCGTCATTTGTATTGATTTAAAATGTCATTACATCAATCGATTCTTCGGTATTGAGAATTTCATTAAACTTTTCATCTGTTTTTGAAGTATTGTTCGTTTCTGTCAGAAAATATTTCACAGATGAATAATTTTATAGTCTTTATATAACATCAAATACGTCAATTAGCGATATTGTACAAGATGTCTTGTCATTATACAATGTAGAACATTTTCTGACTTCGAAATATCAATACAAAAAAGAAATGTTTCATTATAAAAAAATTGGAACTAGTATGAGCATTTTTATCATCGATAATAATTATTTCCGATATGAATAATGGCTTCGAATATTTTCAATTTCTGCCAGTAATGAAGCAGATTGTCGAGGTATTAAGTGATTCTTCTTCTTGGAATGAAAATTTCATCGACTTTTCGTGAGTTATTTGTACGTTCAACAGAAATTATCTTGATGTTATCCATTCGAATGAAACAAGGAATTTTTTATAGTATTATATCTTCTATACAGGAGTCATTATAGAGGAAAATTGTAGAATATGTGAAATTCTTTCGTACGCTATTTTAGGAATCCATCAAATATAAATCCAACTGATTCTATATTCGTTACAGGCTACTGCCAAGGTTTCAACATGCTGGCAGCTCTAATTTTGCAAGTGACTGAAAGATGTGAAACCGACGCCCTCAAACTTATGATTTACCTCGTAGAGGGAGTTCTGCCGGATTCCTATTTCGCTGATAGCCTAAGAGGGTTGTCCGTTGACATGGCCGTCTTCAGAGAGTTGTTGAGAAGTCGACTGCCTCGGTTATCAAAACACCTCGACACTCTCCAGAACGCTGCCAAAGATGGAAGCAGGAGCTACGAACCTCCTTTAACTAACGTCTTCACAATGCAGTGGTGAGTTCAAAAATGTATAAACGTGATTGAAATCCAATCAATATAAAAGTTGAAATTTAATTTTAGGAATCAAGTAATTCACAATATTTTTGAAAAACTCACATTGTCAATAGACGCAGAATAAATTGCACCCTATAATGCCACCCTATATCTAACAGAATCTGTAAAATATCCATTCAGCGACAAAATGACATTCCGGGATCGATCAGTTTTTTCTACTTGGAGAATTAAAACTCTCAACCACTTGATAAAAGTCGTGTCTAACGAAGGCTACCCCAAGAATGAAAACATAAAACTTGAATTTGTTTGCGAGTTTTCTCCCCTATTCGTTTATGAATCCAGCAAAGCACAATATAAGTTACTATTGATTGCTTTCGATATTTCCATGTTTATGGTGGAAATGTGTTTCAGTTCAAATATACAAAAAATTCATTATTGACCTTTGAATCAACAACATGTTACATATTTTGCTATAAAATGATTTCGCTACAAAATCTATTCCATAGCAAACATGTTTTCTTGTTATGAACTCTTGTTTTTTCATGAGAATCATTAATAGAATGAAGTGAATCGAAAATAATACGCAAACCGATATCACAGCAATAAATTTTTTCCAGGTTTCTCACTCTCTTCTGTAACTGCCTGCCGCAGCCTACCGTCCTCCGCGTGTGGGATCTCATACTCTTGGAAGGGAACGAAATCCTCCTGCGCACAGCCCTAGCCATCTGGCAGGTCCTTGCAGAACGTATCCTGAGCGCCCGTAGCGCCGACGAATTCTACTGCATCATGGGCGTCCTCATGAGAGAACTGCTGGAGTTCGGTCTGATCGACGGTAACTCCCTGATCAAAGCCGTCGTGGCGATCGGGCCTTTGACAGAACTGAAAACGCTCAGGGAGCACTACTTGTACAACATCAACCCCTGGGGAGCCGCAAGTCTACCCCAGACCGTCGAGAAGCAGCTGAAGCTGTACCCCAGGCACGCTTTGGCCTTGGACATCAGTTCCTTGAAGAAGCAGTACGCCAAGCTGAAGCAGAGGCAGCGGCAGGCCCACATCATCTTCAGCGCTGCTATCTCCAGGCAGCCGCCCCCAACACCACCGGTGACGATGAACCACTTGCTAATCGGGAAAAGCGCGCTGGTTCCGGCGAAGCGATTGGGCCCTCCAAAGGGCTCCATTCCTCCTGCTAGGCAAGTCCCCAGCACCTTGCACTGGAAAGACGCCCCCAAGCAGACGTCCAGCTCCAGCTCCAGCGATACCGAGCTCTGCGATGAAGAGTCTGTTGAATCTTCTGACGAAGACGTCGTAGATAATCTTCCCCAGGACTCTGGAACAGATCTTATGAAAATCGACAATAGTGCCAGTATAGAAGATACTGTTAGCCAAACCCTAGAGACTGAACTAGCTGATTGCAAGGAATCTGACGAGGATAATCTAGACTTTGAGCAATTCCTAGCAGATCGTGTCAAATGCTTTAAGGTGGAAGACCCGGAGGAGAGGATCAACTGCGCCAGAAGAAACAGCGAAAGGGCGCTGCAGATCATTCAGGAAAACTCGCTGATTCTGCACAGGATTCTGCAGTGCCAAAGTAGACTATCACCTTCACCGCCTCTGAAGGTAGACGAAGCAGGTACCGCCCCTCCGAGTCACAGTTACGATGCACCACTGCCGAAGGAGATCGATAAAGAGGACATTACTTCTTCAAGAGATTCAAACCCACCTGAATACGGTTCGAGGTATACGAGCATTCTGGAAAAGAGCAAAAGCCTTGATGAGAAGTATAATGCTCTGATTCTGAACAAGCCAATGTCAAAAACTGCTGAGGAATTAAACAGAAACGTTGAAGATACAAGTGACGTCCTATCAAATTCACCTAGAGAGAAAAGTCAGCATTTTTTTAATGATTACAGGATCGGTCAGGAGCCAAAGAGTATGACAAAATCATACGAGAATTTGCCTGTTGTTCACGAAGAAACAGTCGATAATACTAATACCGACAAAACTACTACCAGTGATTTGGATTTCATTCGGTATGACAAGGATCAAGAAAGTATACAGTCAGATCCATATTTCCCCAGAAAATTCAACTTTAATGATGGTTACAGTTTTGGTCAAGATGAATCTAATATGACAGATAAATCTTCCGAATATGTTTCTGAATATTTATCGAAAATAAATCAAACTGTTCTTGAATCAAGAGAATCTCCTTCTCAGTTTTGCGGTTATGACGAAAGTTTCAGCAAGAATACCCCTTATATTTTCCCATTCGTGAATAGCCCAAATGTTACTAAAATCTCAAGAGAAATCAGTGATATAAATTCACCGAACAGTGTCACTGATGAAAATATCAAAGAAACTGCAGACTCTGCAGTCAGTTTAATCGATTCAGACTTCAAAAACTACTTGTTTCTATCGAATGAAGAGATTGCCAAGTCTCCTGACTCTCCCAGACACCAGCAGAAGGAAATAACACCTCTAAGGGAAAGAGTTTATACAACTTTTGATCAGCTACTGAATCCTGAAGCCGAAGATAAAGACTCTGGAGTATACTCCACGACAGATTTCATTAGATCGATGAATGATTCCAGAACAACAACTGAATATTTTGTTTCTCAAACACCAATCATTGTTTCAGAGGATCATAACAAAATAGACATGGATAGTGGATCATTCCCAAATGAATGTACCGTAAAAAGTGTATTTCCATTGCAGATTTCCACAAATGGTGAAGACAACAGTTCAAATGGTTCTATTAAATCTCCGACTGTCTCAAAAAGTATCTCGAGCGAAACCAAGCACGGATTGAAGGCTGTTGTAACTTTAGATGCCACCGAACATGCGAAGCCTTCTGTGAAACATGGAGAAATTCCCACTTTCAAATCCCCCAAAAGGTCCCCATTGAGGTCACCGCTCAAATCTCCTCTAAGATCTCCCAGCAACTGTTTCAACCCTTTTCCGGTTCCCCTCAGCTCTAGGCAGAGTAAGGAGGTTCCTTTGAAGTTGGGCTTGTACAAAAAGTGACGGGTCGGTTTTGGTTATTTGCTTTGCGTGGAAGACTGCTTTTTTGACTATCTGTTTCTATATTCAACTTCATATGAGAATATACTGTTGTATAATAATCTTACTATATTAGTAAACCGGATACGTTGTTGTGGAGGTTGAATACTCAAGATAAAATGAGTTTAGTTCTACCTGGAAATTAGGAGTTTGGAGTTGAAAGATTTCCATCAATGCGTGTTGTCTTTTGGAGATTTGTGCTGAGTCTATTTGAGTAATGAATGGAATAAGGTGTTTTTTCTTCCCGATAGCATTATTTTTCTCTCGTCTGTAATTGAATAATCATTCGAATAATTTTAGAAAAATGTTAGGAAAAAATGGAGACACTTTGGAATCCAGAAGAATCCGAGAGGGGTGGAAAACAAAAATGTAGAGCAACAATCAATTTCAATTCAAAATAATCCATTACGAGTCGAGAAAAAAAAAGATATTTTCATTTAACCGTTGCCTTCGCCAAAATGTAAAAACAGGTACTTTTTGCATTTTTAATTATTTCTATAATAAACATTCAATAAACACACCTATATCTTTATTACAAACACTTTTGAAATTTATGAATAATTTCAAAAACGATAATTAAAGAATATATCTGTGATATTACTTATTCTAAAAAGTTAACTTGAGATTGCAATTGTACGAGGAGTTTGTTATTATCACAGGAAGCACTTCAATCATTTAGGAATACGTCACAAAAAATTCTGCAATAGAATATTATTGTCAACTGTATCAAATGATTTGCAAAAATCCAGAGACAGAAGGTTACATTTTTTATTATGAATAATTTCAATTTGAATGCAAGTTGTCATATCAATCACCATAGCTTTAGTATATCTGCATCTGAATAAACCACACTAACTAGAACATAATAAATTATTATTATCTAAAACAGAAATAGGAAAATACTGATTCAAATCACATTTTTTACCATTTCTGTTAAGTTGAAATACCGCAGCAATGTTGATTTTTTCTATAATTGAAAGATTCTGTACAATTTCACATAAAATTGTTGAAATTTTCCTTTTAACAATTTTTGATAAATTACACGTATATCATCAAAACCACCAACTTTGTTTAAATCTGAATTATTTTTAAACCTCTCAATTTCCAGAATGTCTACTGGTTTCAGAAACATGGACATAATGTTTGATGGATCATTGAAAATATTTGCGACCACTGATGACACAGGATCCTTCCCAAAATCTCCAAACTGTATCATATTCAAAATTCAATTATTTCACTAAGGTACTGGATTGATCTTAATGCTCCAGCTGTTCCACTAGTTACAACTTCAAATTTAAAATCGGGCTTACATTCGTCCAACGTAGAAATTTTTAAATGACACCTGCTCCTTCGCCAAAAATTGAACATTATTGTGATTTCAAGTTATAAAATGTATAAATTAGGAAAAACCATCCAGTATAATCAAATATTCAAGCAAAATGAATCAGAATAATATTTTCACATGAGGTTTGATTTCTTGAATACTCACGTTCAAAAAAAGTTTAGATCAATGAATCAAAAATTATGTTGAATTAAATTAACAGTTCTATTTAGGAGTTGAAATATCTTCATTCCATTCATTGATGAAAATTCTTAGAGTTAAGATAGTTTTTAAAAAGAATCCTCGTTGATACTATTTTGCGCTGTGCCAGGTCCGTTCGTTCTTGAAGTATTTTGTAGAATACAATGATATATATTTCCTTAAAAATTGTTATTCGATTATATATAATGTTACTTGATGATTTCAGTGCTTTTTTTACCCTTCGATTTTGAGGCAGAAATCTGTGGTGGTTTTCAATACTGGCGAATATTATTTGTGAGTATGTTCCGAGTTGGGTTAATTTGAGAAATGTATTTTTAAAAGAAATAATTGCATTTAGGAAAAAAATTTTGTGGCCTTGAGTGATGAATTGAATTGTTCGTTGAAAGTTTCTGACAAATATATCTTGAAAAATAAGATCGCGTCAAAATACACTCTTCACAGTTATTCTTTGTGGATACTTTATTTCCCATCAATAAAAAGTGTAGAAGCGACAAATGAAATCCTCAATTTTATTTTCTCAAATTACATTCTCTTTCATAAATATTCCATTCATTTCAATATTGAGGTGATGATTGTAACGCTTAAATTTTTAAATGCAGAAAATGTATTTTCTATAAAAAAAGTGGAGATATACTCTCATTTATCACTCATTCAAGACTAGATTTTTTTTCTAGTGTTATTCTAAAATTGATTGAATACTAAACCTTGTTTACATTATTATTTTGTGACTTATATGTAAATCTCATTCGTCTTGAATATTTATAGCTTTTCAGAGCTTCTAAACTTGGAAACCCCCTTCTATCCCACAAAAGTTAAAATTAGTGCATAACGCTTAAATTTTTAAATGCAGAAAATGTATTTTCTATAAAAAAAGTGGAGATATACTCTCATTTATCACTCATTCAAGACTAGATTTTTTTTCAAGTATTATATTCTAAAATTGTTTGAATACTAAACCTTGTTAACATTATTATTTCGTGACTTATATGTATCTGAGCTAAGTTATCTTCAACTAACTCGTGTACTTTTGAATACTCGCGATCATTCTTCAATCTGTTTGCGTTTCCCGCCAGAATGACACATCAGATACAAACCTTTTTTGTAATTTAGAGGGAAACCACAAAGTTCAGTTAAAATCTCATTCATCTTGAATGTTTATAGCTTTTCAGAGCTTCTAAACTTGGAAACCCCCTTCTATCCCACAAAAGTTAAAATTAGTGCAGCCAGTTAATTGAAAATCTACAAAACGTTGAGTTCAAATAATTTAATAATTATAAATAAGCATCCAAAATAGGTGGACAAGTGCACACCAAATGTTTATCTCCATACATATCGTCTATTCTCGCTACAGAGGGCCAAAATTTCGTTTCTGGCTTTACGAAAGGAGCCGGAAAAGCTGCCTGCTCCCTGGAATATGGTCGCTCCCAAGAACTGCTGATCACCTGCTCGGCGGTATGAGGTGCCATCTTCAGCGGGTTGATCCGTATATCGGACCTGCCCTCCTCTATATCCCTGATCTCCTGTCTGATGGTGATCATGGACTCGCAGAACCTGTCCAGCTCCTGTTTGTCTTCGGATTCAGTAGGCTCTACCATCAGAGTCCCCGCCACCGGCCAGCTCATGGTTGGAGAGTGGAATCCAAAGTCCATCAATCGCTTGGCTATGTCAGCAACCTCTATGTTGGCAGTCTTCTTGAATACTCTGGTGTCTATGATGAACTCGTGGGCGACCAGGTTGGAAGAGGAACTCTTGAAGAGGGTATCATAGTGAGGCTCCAACACTTTGGACATGTAGTTGGCGTTGAGGATTGCCACCTGGGTTGCTTTTCTGAGGCCCCGCGGTCCCATCATCTTGATGTAGGCCCAGGAGATGGGTAGAATGGCGCTTGAACCGAATGGGGCCGCGCTAACTACCCCGAACGAAGTTGAATTCTGCTCCCCCAGGGGGTTGATGACTGGGTGGCCTGGGAGGAAAGGGGCCAAGTGAGACTTGACCGCGATGGGACCCATGCCGGGTCCCCCTCCGCCATGGGGGATGCAAAAAGTCTTGTGAAGGTTTAGGTGGGACACATCGCTTCCGTAGTCTCCCGGCCTACAGAGCCCGACCTGCGCGTTCATATTGGCCCCGTCCAAGTAGACTTGACCTCCGTTTTCGTGAATTATGTCGCAAATATCCGCTACGGTTTCTTCGAACACGCCGTTAGTTGAAGGGTAGGTTATCATCATGCAGGAGAGCTTGTCTCTGAACTTTTCGGCTTTTTGTTTCAAGTCTTCTACGTCTATGGTGCCATCTTGTCGCACCTTGACGGGTTCCACTTGCATGCCGGCCATTTGGGCACTTGCGGGATTGGTACCTTGTCAAAAATACCGTTTTAGTTATAATCTGCATCAAGATTGGAATATTAGAAAGTAGAAAGAATCGAATGTTGAATGCAGGTTAAGTAAACAATTATCTCTCATAATTTCAGATGAGAAAGTAAAATTAACTGAATTCACATGAATGAAATAAAACATTGCAGCAAAAATTAATACACTATTCTATACAAAAATTATAAACTCTATGTTGAGCTGAAAGCCTATCAGGACTTGGAAGGAATAGACAAATCAAATATTTCTCAATCAGTAAAACAATTAAAAGAATTTCACAAACCTTCTTGATACTTACCATGAGCACTAACCGGTATTAAACACACTTCTCTGTTTCTATCACCTCTCGCCTCGTGATAGCTCTGAATCGCCCTCAGCCCAGCGTACTCGCCCTGGGCCCCACTGTTGGGCTGAAAACTGATCTTGTCGTACCCCGTGATGGCGCAGAGGTCTTTTTCCAGCTCTGCGAACAGCTGGTGATAGCCCAGGGTTTGCTCCTTCGGCGCGAAAGGATGTATCTCCGTGAAGTGCCTAAAGGAGCACGGCATCATCTCCGTAGTCGAGTTGAGCTTCATGGTGCAAGACCCGAGTGGGATCATGCTGTGCACTAGGGAGATGTCCTTGTTCTCCAGGATCTTCATGTACCTGACTATCTTGGTCTCGGAGTGGTGGGAGTTGAACACGGGGTGAGTTAGAAACGATGACGTTCTCTTGAAATCGCTTCTTGAAATTGATCTTTGTCTGACCGTGGGGTTGTCCAAGAGATTCTCTATTGTTTCCGAGCAGCCGAAGACGTAAAAGAGGTCGTTCACGTCTCGGGAGGTGACGGATTCGTCTAGGGAGACGCCCACAGATCCATTTTCGTTGTAGCGGAGGTTAATTCGTTTGGATTCTGCGCGGGATTTGATCTCGGCTATGTCCAGTTTGGGCTTGATGGTTAAGGTATCGAAGAAGTATTCATTGGGCAAGATATTTCCGTCCTTTTGGAGACCATAATGTAATATCTATAGTAGTAAAAAGTATGTTGTAGTAATGTAGTGAACTACCATGAAGTTTTTCAAATCGTCATCGAACTAACATTGTGTAACAAGAGTAATGGAAATGATGTAAATATGAATAAGGAATTTCATTCGAAAAACACAAATTTGAAATAACTTAAAAATGTGCTATGCACTATGCACACTGGAAGTTATGAAGTATGAGTAGTAACTCTCACCTCAGGTACGGTATTGCATTCTGAGGTTTTTGCAATATACCATAAATGAAGTCGGTTTTTATTACACTAAACAAGCCAGTAATATAAATCAAACATAATGGCCATTGTGAACCTGTCCATATATCCTCGTATTTAAACAGTTTTTAGCTCATGCATTTTGGAAAGTGTTATACACAACCTTTCATATCACATGGATTTCAGTGTGATAAATTCCAAGTTGAATTTTGAATTGATTTATTGATTTGGATTTAATATATTATTCATACAATCTGGACAGGTACGTGAAATCATAAACAAATCTCCTCTCTTACCAAGGTCATATTGTGAATCTTGGTGGCGATATCCTTGAGGCCTTGGGGTCCGTGGTAAACCGCAAACATGGCAGACATGTTGGCCAGAAGAGCCTGAGCAGTGCATATATTACTCGTGGCTTTATCTCTCCTTATATGCTGCTCCCTAGTTTGTAGAGCCAACCGATAACCGTCCCTTCCAGCTGCATCTCTGGTAACTCCTATCATTCTTCCCGGCATCAGTCTAACCTAAAAGTTGCGTACAAAATGCGATTCAATTGCATTTTCACATCTTGGTGACTCAAGGTCCAGTTCTTTGGCCATTTAATATCAGATATTTACAAATACTAAGTTACAAGCAATTATCCATAGAATAATATCGTTCATCTCACCAATGACTGACTGCAAGCAAAGAATCCAGCATGAGGTCCACCATAACCCAATGGTACCCCTAAACGTTGAGATGTACCGATGGCTATATCTGCCCCAAATTCGCTTGGAGGCCGCAGGAGAGTCAAGCTTAGTAAATCTGTTGCACAGCAAACCAGGGTTCCTGTAAAAATTGTGTTATCGTCTCTTGAACAGCTTTTTTTGCAAAGCAATATGCTTTTCAAGTCCTCAGTACAATATGAAAATGTGGAGTTGAATAAAATCTCTCATCAAGCTTTGAGGAATTTATTTCTTTCATGGTATCAATACTGCAGGACAAAAAAAAGACATAGAAGTTCAGTATCAATATAAACACTATCCATGATAATAATTATAGAATTTTCTCAATAGATTTTATTCAAAACACGTTTCGCTACACGGTAGCTTCACTAGTTACTGGTATCGGTAAATAATTTAAAATGAATTGAAAATTGAATATTTTCAGAGGAGACTACCATTCTTGGGAAGAAATCTTTTTGGTGACAAGCGTCTTGTCTGAAAATTTCAAAGTACACCGTTGAGGTGAGTGACGTTTTATATCAATATTTTTTCATATATCACATTGTTCAGCATACTTATGAAAGAATTTTTTTCAATTTCATAATGAATAGTTGTAGTACAAACTGAATGGGAAAAAGTAATTTCGTGTAATGTTCATTTGAGAGTAGTTATTTCGGAAGGACTTTCTCCTTTCGTGTAATTCAACTTTCAATATGAAAGCATTTGTTTGGAAACGGTTTCTTCTTCTAGTTTGTATCTGAAAAAAACTTATATGTATATGTACACATTTTTTTCAAGATGGAGACGTTGAAAGCCAAAAAGCTATCTTTCCAGAAACAAAATACTTTTCAAATTAAATATCTCACCATGTGAATGCGCATTTTCACTCAAAGCACTGAAATCCTGTACATTTCCTTCAGTATCGGGATACTGAAACAAAACTCCGGCAACGTCCCTATTGGAAAAGTCAGCCTCGAAAACATCCACGACCTCCACGGTGAGTCCCAAAGACTCGCACCTCGTTTCTACCACCGAAATAGTCTGAGGATGAAGCAAGCTCGATACCAGCAGTTTCCTCCTCTTGTTTTGTCGGAAGCACAAAGAAAGAGCTTCTGCAGCGGCGGTACCCTCATCGAGGAGGGAAGCGTTCGCTACTTCCAAGCCAGTTAGCTCGCTGACCATTGTTTGGTAGTTGAGGAGGCCTTCCAGGCGACCCTGCGCAATCTATAAAAGAGTGTTATGATTTATAAAAGCAAAAAACTGATAATTTCATGTTAATTCGTGAGGAAAAAACTACCATAAAATTTCCACGAATATAAACTGTATGTATTCCTGCTTTTACCGGGGTTTAAGAATAATTCTCACCTCAGGCTGATAGGGTGTATATTGCGTGGTCCAGCCAGGATTTTCGAAAATGTTCCTCATTATGGTGTGCGGTACGCAACAGTTGTGGTATCCCATTCCAATGTACGACCTCCAAATCTTGTTTTTTTCAGCTATTTCACGTATTCGGTTGATCAGTTCGTATTCACCTTCAAATAAAACAAATAAGAAGTAAAATATTCTCTACATTTTAGTAAGTTCATACAGACTAGCCCGAAGTCCTTTATAGAAAGTAAATAAAAATATTTTTAGTTCATACAACACTCCAAGTTGCCTAACAACAATTACGTTTCACTGGTTGCTAGACTATACACAGTTTTTTGAATCATGTCATATCCACCTCTCTGGAATATGTTTCATCATTGTGACTTTCACCCCGGAGTATGTGTTTGTGGAGTTACTTCCGAACTTTGTCTGCAGGTGGTAATGCACTAGTTGGAATTAATTTTGTTTGTACGGGATATTCACTCCGTCTGAAACTCTTGTCATTCCAAAGCAAAATTTTATTGACACTAATGTGGAAGCCTAATAAAATGAGTGTTCCTATTGGGAAATGATTATAAATAATAATACATTCAATAAGAAAAAGTGATTAACCATTATCATTTGAAGTACCGTTGAATTTTTTTATTTTTTCTGTGAATTTCATTATATTTCATAATCATTGCACTATATTACCAAATATTTTATCATACTCATCTCTAGAGGTGCTTTTATAAATTACCAATTCGATTGAGAGTTTATTTGGACAACTGACACGTGTTTTCTGTTATCATCACTATACGACGTTTTTAACAAATATTTTCCATTTCTTTCTATTTATCAAGAATTTCGAATTGAATATGCATAAATACGTTCGTCATTGTTTACCATCAGAATTAGATGTTTTGAATTATCTCAACAGACCCCCTGTGAAGCAACATACTTTCTTATCGCAATTGACCCCCAGCAATTACTCAAGTTAACTAATCAAAAAAAAAACAACAGAGTTGTGTAAAATATTTTCTTTCAACATTCAATCTAAATAACTTTCTTATAGCTAATACATTTTCGACAGGTTTCCTTATTCGACATGGCTCCTGTAAAATGATAAATAATAATAATGATAATGTACTTGAATATACAAAATTCTGAATAAGAATAAGTGATTTATTTTGTCATTCTCAAGGTCAGTCGTGACGTCGGCACTAGATCTGACAATTTTGGTCAGTAACGTCATCAACGTATCAATTTTGACGTTAATAGTACGGCGATTTCCTTTGGTTCGTAAAATAATAAACGGTTATTTCTCCCCGAAAGATCGATAACACGTTAAACATTCTCTGACAACTCATATATAGAGTGTCAACTTTCATGGCGTGAGATAACCTGTGTCAAAGCTGTTTTCGGGTTTTGTTGGTCGTGGTCTGAAGATTTGTTTCGTTCAATAAAAGAGTTCAATTCATAGTATCACAAACAAAAATAGGTGTAAAGGCCCCCAAAAATTGGTGTAAAGGCCCCCATTGAATCAAGAGATACCTCCCCCGAAATGAGAGATTCTATATTGCTACGCCACTGCTATGTTCCAAAGTTATTACGAATTTGAACATGATTGAAACTTTGACATTTAATTTCTTCCCAATTTTATTCACTTTTAAGATATCTAACACTACATGTAAATATGGTAGATTTAACAGAAATCAAAATGAGTGGAATTTCAGAGGGATAATTTTCAAGAGAGCAGTGAATTCACATTTCTTCATTATGTCATCAGGAGAGCAATTAAAAATAGTTCAGAGTTCAAGTAAAAGTAGGTCTCCACTTACTCCTCCTCCGAACTTGATACTTTAACTGAAAAATTTATTGTGATACCTCCAGATGTTTTCGTTCTGAAAACCGTTATTTCGGGCTTATGTTTCGCGAAACAAGTTAACATCTTCAGATTATAAAGCATAACTGATTTTCATTAAATATACCTTAAGTAGCTCTCGATGAAAAAGAGGTGAACCAAATATTGCATACCAAAATATCACTTACCGATTGGTTCCTCAATGTCCAGTTGTTTATTCAGACTTATATTTTTAGGAACAGCTTTCTCGGTCAACTCATCCAGGCTCTGAAAATGAATCAAGTATCGGTCAGTTCCTTTCAACAATATGAATATTAATTTACCTTATATCCCAAGGTATCCAGCATTGTAATGATGTCACTTTCCCTGGGGCCGATATGCCTATTCGGAAAATCATCTTTCGTGGAGAATAACGGCCCCTCGGTTTTGGGGGGAACGGCACTCAGGAGACGTATCGGGTTAGCGAGTTTCGCACATTTCTTTGTCCGAATAATAACTCTATACATATCGGAAATTTAACCTAATAAAAACGTAAATCTTGTTTGAATGAGTGACTATTGCAAACTTACAGATATTTTTCCGAGTCACAATTTCAATAAATGTTCGAGGGTATAGGTCATTACTGTGAAAGAGATAAATCGAGATAGACAAGACACGAACGAAAACATTTCTCAAGTTTATCTCTTTATATTGCCTATGAAGAAATCTGTCAGGTTTTCATTAACTTTCTTATGGATTTTTTTCTTGGGCAAATAAGAATGAAACTTGTCAGTTCTTCATTAGAGGGAATTTACAGGCGATCATAAAATAAAATATCTATAAATGAGGGAAGTAATTTGCTAGATCCAAGTTTTCTTAGATGCTAATACTGAAGTTGAATACTGGCGACTTTACAGATTATCAAGTATTTCACTCTCGGAGACTGATTTTTACAAGCTTTATATAAGCTTCACCGTGTTAGGAATCACACGTTTCTTAACACAAGTTTCTTAACTTCTGAAAGTTGTCGTTCGTTAACGGAAAAACAGATTTTAAACAGATTTTTACCTGTATGTATGAATGTTTGTTCACTTGCAAGTCCCAAGCTAGGGATCTGTATTGACAGAATTATCGACATTATTATTGCTTGATCTATTCGTGGGCAGATGGCGCTGTACGTAACATGCTTTACCTATTACCAGGCAGATGGCGCTGTGCTATGCCTGCTTGTTCTACTGACGAGCAGATGACGCTACTTGTAACCTGCTTGATCTGTTCGCGGGCAGATGGCGTTGTACGTAAGAGAAAAAATCGATAAGAATTATGATATATTGGAATTAATATAAATAATAAATTAATTAAATCAGTTGATGAATATTTCAAAAACTTTCAAAAACAGAGACAAATTATTGTAAAATAAGAAATGTAGTTTCAACAATCTAGCACCAGGTACACATAAAACATGAATTGGTCAGGAAATACTCAGGTACTTGAAATGTAGGTAAGTACTTCAAATTGTTAAATAAGGTATATAAGACATTCAATATGTAGAATTTATTTAGTAAATACACAGTCGAAGAAGTCATTGTGTGGCAAAACACGTGTTGCGGTTTTGTAAAGCTTCTAACTGAAAATCTCACAATAGTGTTTTTTGTATATAAACCAAAGAAATATCCTGCACTTAGTGTATAGAGTAAGGTTCTTTCAAATAACAAATTCAAGTGCAACTTCCACATACGATTTACGTGCAAAGCATAAAAGAGGTTCAAGTATTGTGAATCTTGCAAGAGCAATAAAACAAAAACAAATTATTGAGAAATATTCCTGTATTTAAAATAAATTATATCTAACAACAAATAATATATGAGCAATACACGACTGTACTGAATGATGGTGAATGAAATGAGTAAAAATAGAACTAATAACTAGAAACGGCATGGACATCCACACAATATAAATATCTTTTGTCCTTTCAACGCAACGCATTCTAATGTACAGTGAAAAAAATTATTTACTTTTCGATCAATAATTACAAAAATGTCTGTCTCACTTTGTACAAAGCGAAAAACTTGTTCCGAGCAATTGAAACAAAACATTAATCTGATCGGGAATGAAATCCTGTCTAATCTCTTTAGACATACTCAACAATTAACAAAAAGAATGTGATTATTTCAGTTTGAAACTCAAACCCCTTCTAAAATGAAATTATAATGCAATAAAGTATTGGAAGAAAATATTGAAAAAAATAATCAACGGGAATATAAATAAAAATGAAACATAAGAGAGCAGAAAGAAATTGATTAGAATGTTTCAATTTTGAATACTTTTTTTCTATTGAAAAAGTCATTTTTATTTAGGAAATCAGAATTTTTCATCAGTCTTGGGAGGGCTGGGATTCTCCATTACAATTTTATTTTTTTTCAAATTGTTGAAAATAAAAATTCTCCCCCAAAAAAGTAGATGAAGAACCTATTATTTCCTTCTCGCTCGCTGCTCACTTTTGTTTTTCTTTCAATTTATATACATTATAGTTCTCTCCCCCTCTTTCTGCACTATTAGCTCAATCCAATTTGTTTAAAACTACAAAAAATTGTTCTCTCTGTCAACATGAGAAACAAACAAACAAAACCCCACCCCGACGACAGTGAATCTTTGCTCGACTACAGCAATCACGAATCAGTCGAGAAGCCTGATTAGAAGAGGAGAGCGCCCATGCCGCCCATCTCGCTCTGCTCCTTGACAAAGATCTCGAAGTACTGGTAGATGATGGTGACGGCGAGGAGGATTCCCGTGCCGGACCCGATGGCCCCCATGAAGTCTGCGAGAACAGAGAGAGCACCAATACAGAGGCCTCCGAACGCAGCCGCTGTCGGGATGTACCTGAAACAATAACCATACATTTGATTTCATGGAATATCACAATATATAACATTTTACACAACAACAATTATAATCGAAACAATCATCGAGTTCTCACTCGATGATTGGTAAAGTTATGAGTCATTAGGTAGATGGTCACATGATTTAAATTATTATTATATAAAGCACAAATCAAGTAGAATTATTTCAATATGAAAACGCGTGAAGGGAAATCTCACAAGTCTTACCTGAAAAATCTATAATGATGATAATTGTAGGTGTTTAAAGAATTCAGATGTTCAAACTGATTTTTAATTTTGAGAAAATATGGAAGACACTCCTGAAAAGTGAGGAGTTTGCTGTTTCCAAATTACCCTTTGTATGGGCGTTACGTTTGAATATCAAAAAGATTTTCAGAGTCCTCTTTTGAATGACAAATATTGAATTAGCATATCAGCTGTGGCCATCAAAAATTATAACACATCTCATGATTGATTCTACTGTTGCATGATAGACATATTTGAAGGTGAATATCACTGGAGTTCTTTCCCAACACCAAATCGTTACTGTACGTTAAACAGTTTAATCTTTATCTTGAAGATGATCACTAGGTGATCGAAACACGTGTCGAGGTGTTAAAAATAATGATTTGGTGTTGGGAAAGAACTCCGGTAATATTCATTACTACACCAAAAGTGTACCATCAATAAGTCATGTAATCTGAGACGACCCTCAAACTATAACATACTGAATTCAGTTTGGTATATATATCTAACATAATTATCTGAACCATCCATAAAAATTCCTGGATAATCAAAGATTACAAAATGATCAAATTCCGTAGATTTCTGAAACGTACCTGTTCAGCTCGTGGATCATGGAGTTGTCTCTGTGTCCACGCATCACCATCTGCTGCTCCTTCAGTTGCTTCGCCACGTCCTTGGCAGAGCTGCCAGACACTTCGATCCACGTCTTGGAGAAGAATGCGCACGAGCCCAGCATGAAGACAATGTAAAGTAGGGCATGCACAGGGTCTTCCAGGATGTGGCTGACACTCTCTGGGGGCGACAAATAGTAGCACAGGCCGCCAATGGGGTAGGAGCGAGCGGGGCCTCCGCCGCCCACATCTGCCCACACACCCAGCAGGTTGATTAGAAAGTTGCCCTGGAACTTGACGGCCAACATCTGCGAGATCACGTACAGGTTAGAGACAAGCGCAGATTGCAGGATGATGGGGATGTTTGAGGTGTAGAACAGTTTGATGGGGTAGCTCGAGTACTGGCCACGGTACCTGCAACGACAAATATTATATTCAGAGATGAAAATAAAAACAAAAATCATGACATATTTCTATTCCTTCCAATTCCCTTTTATTTATTATTATTAATTATCTAAAGTTTTGAATCTCACCATCTATACAGCGAGTTTCAAATTACTGCATTATATAGACTACTTACAACATAGAAAATATGAGTTCATGTTTTGTAAACTATTAGGTGAAAATATAAATTAATAAAGTGTTATTTTTTGAAATAAAATTTAGCCAAAACTACTTGAAAAACAATTTTGATGAATTTTAATGTATTTTACTTTTTGTCTCGTTTCATTGGTTTCAAATTCATTTTTATTCAGTTGATGTTTCATGTAAATAAATAAATAAATTACCTAGCACTCTTGATGGGTAAATCTACTCTGAATCCCTGGAAGTATATCACTATAGCAAATACAAAGACTGTAGCTAGAAGATTCATCAGATTGGGTAGATTTTGACGGTAAAACGCCTCCCTGAGTCCTCTGATTTTGTCCTGTCGGGTGGTAAGCAAGTGGAAAAGAGCGATGACTGCTCCCTCGAACTCGGTTCCGCGTCCAGTGTTGACAGTTGCTGGAGAGAAAGCCTTCCAAATGATGGTCTCGCAGATGTTAGTGGCGATAAAGAGGGAAATTCCCGAACCGAGCCCGTAGCCTTTTTGAAGAAGTTCGTCTAGCAGCAGCACTATGAGACCGGCCACAAAGAGCTGGATGATGATCAGAAGACAGACTCCCGCTCCGATTTCTGCAGGGTCTCCATACATGCCGGTCATTACATAAACGATCGCTTGACCGACAGTGATAACCATACCAAACACTGGGAACAAAAAAACAGCTTTGAAATGAGAAAAGCTCAAAGGTATAAATTACGCTTGTAAATAAAACTTGAACTAGAACAATGAGATATTGGAATTATACAAATAGAAGTACAAGTTTCTTCCAAAGCAAAAATAGTCACATTTGTGTTTTGGGTTAATCCATCCACAATTTTGAAATATTTTTTGGCTACTTTTATTATATTTGTACATGTTAATTTCAAGAATTTTATTCAGAATTTACCACCTTATATTCCTAATTAATTTTGATTTGTTTCAATTCATCAAATTCAATTCTCTTATTACTTTTGAAGTGTGCAAGTAGGACATTTCTACTTTTTCCTAAATTTGGTTGGTATAAATTCCAATTTATTTAGATAATTATCCTTTGACCATTCTTAAACCTAATTATTCTTCATTAAAACACTATTTACTTTCTAATGATGATGTTTTCTATAAAATTATCCATTTTATCTCATTTTAATTATGTACATAGTTACTTTAATTATTTCAAAATATCACACAGTAGAAATGTTTGACTCATGGTATTAGTATATACCAGTAAAGGTTGAAAATATACATTTTTCTGAAGAAATAGTTCATCTTTTTCTAAGGAAGAATCTGGTATCAAATCATTTTCTATTCCATCTGTAGTTCCATAGTAAAATCCTTAGATTATACCATGAACAGTATGAAATGCTAGTAATTCCTATATTTCATAGAATACAGTTCCCATCAATTTTAAAGTTCTGCAAGGAATGATGGAAATTGTCTAATTCCAGTTTTCTTGCTAATCTAGGATAAAATATTGACAGTGAATTGAATACCTCTGCATTCTGTAGTTTAAAAAACACTGAAGACATTTTCAAATAATGTAGACAAATTACCACCATTTTCAAATTACACATTTTAATGAAAAATACCTGTTGATACTTCCATTCTCTTTGTAAACGGAATTGAAATTATAACTGTTATGGTTTAATTATGGAAGAGAGGAAATGAATACTTTCAATAGCTTGAACTGATTTAAGCATCATTTAAAATTTTCCTTTGTTCAAACATGTTAGTTTTCTTAGGAAATGTACTTTAATGTTACAGCTAAATATAATTTCAGCCAAAATATGGTGAGATGAGTTTAATGAAAAAAAGATATTCGGAAATGATTTTCTAAAAAAAAGATTCGCTGCCTTTCTGTTGAGAGTTTCATTCTGTCTATACAAAAATTATCAAAGTTAACCAAAGAATGGAACAAGTTTCAAGTTCCTAGTGCTTGTGTAGATCCTAGGACATCTTTACAGTCACTCTATTCTGACCTCAACAAATATCACATAAGAAATGAGCTTTTCAAATGAATATAACTTACATTTTTGTGCACCATTAAACAGAGCCCTGTCTTTAGGAGTGTCGCCTACTTCTATAATTTTGGCTCCAGCCAAAAGTTGCATTATTAATCCAGATGTCACGATTGGAGATATGCCCAATTCCATAAGAGTACCTCTATTCGATGCTAGAATTACTCGAATCCAGTAGAAGGGATCTGCAGAATCTGAACTCATTATACCAAATAGAGGGATCTGTGAAAGAAAATCAAGGATTTTATAACAAGAAACTGATGGCAAGTGACTTTTTTCTTACCTGGCAGCAAACTAAGAAGATGAATAGAGTTATTGCGGTCCATAGTACCTTCTCCCTGAATTGAATCTGTAACAGAAAAATGCCACATGTACTAAAACAGCTGGTGAGATAATGTGAATTGAAACTTCCAAAATTTGATGATCTTTCAATACAGATTCATGATTTCCAATGATATTAATACTGGCCATATGTTTTTTTCAAATAAAAACAAGAAATTCAATGAAAATTTTTGGAAAAGAGGGGCGGCTTCTTACTTTTCTTTCTGGCTTCGCTATTTCAGGCAGAATACTGCAAAACGGCTTGATCACCTCCAGAAATTTAACTGAAAATTGAAAACAAATTGTAAATTAGAGTACTTTCAATGAAAAAAATCAAAAATGTATATCAACTTTAAAATTGTGTAAAATCAGAGGTTATATTATAACTAATATTTGTAAAGAATTACTTACTTCCCATCTTGATGGGTTTACTAAATGCTCTTAAACTCTAAACTACAGTTTCGATATTTAACAAACAACACTCTCTCAAGATGTCACGTCGATTGAGTGGCCAACTTTCAAAGAAATTACGGTACTTTCGCTAGAGAACTTGGCTTACACGTCGTACACGTAGCACAACACACCAATCACGTGACAGATGATGCTGGCGTCTCGTCGGGCTCAGACATTTCAAAAATTCCACAGAACACAAACATAGCAATTTGAATTTGACACATTCACGAGTTGTATATATTGTGCTTCTTTGAATAGAACCGGTGTAAAAAAACCAGAAAGCAAAGGACAAACTATAAATTGATGTAACCGTTACTAGGTGGTAGGAAATCATAATGAAAAAAAGAGAAATGAAACTTTTTGTTTTTTACCACTTTTATTTGTAACTAACGTAACTGCAGTTTCGTCTTATATGGACATTTTCAAACTGCAGTAACGTTAGTTACAAATAAAAGTGGTAAAACACATAGAAAGTTTCATTTATCTTTTCTTCAAAATGACAAACTGGTAGCGAAGGAGTCACTGACAACAACATAAATAGGTATAACTGGATAATTTGAGCACGTTTTTATTAATGAGATCTTGCTGTAATGCTGATAACAAAGAATTCAAATAGTAGATGGAAGAAAAGATAACTTCTATATATAAATGAATTATTACAATCACCGACGAGTCACATATTGCTCCGATGATTTCGACTCATTTCGAAAATTAGTTTTTCTCGATAAGTCACCGTCTTTTCAGAACATTGCTTAATTCGATTTCAGAGTTGGTAGATTGTGCTGAATAAAAATATTTATGTTGCTCCAGAGAAATGACATGTATTAATATTACTTAGTTTTTACTTAAATGTCAAAATAATTAAAATTTAGTGATTGCAATAAAATGTCAATATGGAAGCACATATTAACAACCTAGATAAGTCAAACTGATACTTCTTGATACTTCATCCCTCATCAATGGCAGTGAACTAATGTTGGAAAATTAAAATACGTTCGCCAATTTACATGGCGAGGAATCAAAAATAGGTATAATTGTCTATTAGGTTGTTCGTATCAGTAGGCACATCGCACCGTTTTCATTACTTATTTGTGCCAGTTTATGCGCATTCTTTCGTTGACCCAATCACAGATTTTGTGACCCAAAAGTTAATAAGGTTCATGTGTAACGCTAAAAGTCGATGATTTTTTTCGAATTAACAGAATTTTTGACAGCTTTCGAAGTTTTTATCATAGAAATCGTATTATTTTTTTGAAGTACAACATAAAATGACATCTAGCGAAACATCCAATAATTTTTAGGAATGAAAGTTTTTGGCTTTCTACTACTCCATCTTGATACAAGATGTATGTATCAAGATGGAGTAGTAGAAAGCCAAAAACTTTCTTTCCCAAAAATTAATCACTCCTAAAAATATAACCCCTTCAATTCTTCCAATAATTATTTCCTTGATTATTCCTTTTGTCAGAACCTTTACCCATACTCTACTCTAGTTTTAGATTTCATATATTGTAACCATCTTTTTAATTAACGACCTGGTACCTGGTCATATCAAAATTATAGTTCTGTTTTGAGCTTACATTTGATAAACATCTTTTTTCCTTAATTTTCTGACAATGTTTTAATTAATTTCCAATCAGATCACCATATATAATAAATTTACATCCCTATGCTTATGCATTCATGCTACCTCAGATTCATATTTTCTATACCTGGATGAAACCAGAGCCTCATAAAACTAATAAAAACAGACATGTATCATTTACTTTCATTTTAATATATACAGATATTGATAAGCAACTTCTCAGGTAAAGAACAATTTCAGGGAGAAGATCCCTAAGAATACACATTTTTTTTCGATTCATTCAAGTATTTCATTTGATTTACAAAATATTTGACTGAGCTTTAGGAAGAGAGCCAATTATTTTATTTCTGGAAGATTTTAATGTCATTTTTGTATAACTGTCAAAATTATTCATCAAGAAATATCGGATTCTTACAGATAGCAAGAATAGTTACACAGAAATATATCTAGTACCATATATTCAATTGACTTCTTCCATTTCGCAGAAAATTTTTCAATCTATTGTGAAGATAGAAAAATAGTGATTCTAAAGATCTAATTGAAGAAAATGGCTAGTTAGAATGAAATTTTCTGTAAAAAAGAAAGAAAAATCAATATATATTTTGTACATATAGTATTAACAGTTTTTACACATGTAGGTCATAGGAAAATGGAGGGAATTAAGAGAAAATGTTATTTTTCTAATGAACTCCTACAAAAATTGCTCACATCTGCTCTGGATATTTTTGAATATTACAGGAAACTATGTTATTAGCAACATATGTATCTGAAATTTGTATTAAATAATTTCAGAAAGTAACAACAACAAGAATAATATTGGAATGAGAGTTCAAACTAGTAATGAGTGCAAGACAATAACATTAATTTGACTTGTCTACTTTAGTTTTTATTATTATGTTAACCTCTTTTTTTTGTTTGATCGATATTTATATTTTTTTAGATTCCACTTGAAAATTATCTTCACAAGGAAAACAAAATTAACTAAAATATTATCCCATAAAGATAACTCAGAGCAATAACATAAGCAACTGAAGAAATTCGTACACTGAATAAAATGCAGTTTAACGAAAAAAATTTGTTGAAAGAAATATATGTTGACGTATAATTTGATATCAAAAGAGTTGAACAGGGTATTTTTCATCTGAGTTGAGTCGTACATGGTCATATCCTACAATATTTGTACTTCTAAAGATATCAGGGACTTAAGTCGACGAGAGTTGTGAAACTCACTCATAATGAAACAATACAGAAACATTACAAATATGATGAAAAATTTTCTGTCACTTCCACTTTTAGTTCTACATCCATGATTTCATAACTACAAATTGATGGGTGATTTCTTGTGAAAGTTTCTGACTAATTTTGAACAGAATTATTCATGTAAAAGTAAATAATGTGCTATTTAGAATCGGACCTCAATATGATATTGAGAAAAACGTAAGCAGTGATAGCTGAAAGCAATGAATATCCCTCAAATATGGTAGGTAAATTAATCAGGAAATGTAATGTTAGGGAGAAGCTTCCTAGATCTTCAATTATTCAAAAAGACACTGATTCAAAGTTTTTTGTTCTTCCGTATGAACCAAGATACATAAACGGTTATGAAAGCATTTCTTAAAATCACAAGAAAAGAGCTTTCAAAACAACAACAATATACAGGAACATGAAAAGTTATGGATATATAAAATAGACTGTAAAAACTGACAAAAATATATAAGGCAAACAAGACCAGCTACTGAAACTAGTTTCAAGGAACGTGCAACAAATATTTGTTCTCAGAGACCAGAAAAACACGCCGCCAATTTGTAACCATGAAAGTATCGACGTGTGTCTAAAAATGAAAATATTTAGAGTTAGAACGTCAACTGGTAAAACTCGAGAAAAGTGTTGCAGTCTTGATGATTGGGAAACAGTGCTGTTATGAATTTACTCTATTTTACAAAATGCCAAAGATCTGCTACTTTCAAATAAAAGTCGATGAATCATTGGCATATTTAGCACATTTTACTTGCTAGTTTGTCTTTCATCCCTTTTTCCGTCCAGTATTATTGCTAATAATATTATAGTTAAATTAAATTAACACCTAGTAGAAAACTCGAGTAGAACTACTTTTAAAACTCTGAACACAATAGCTAAACATATATCTTATTCACTCAACTCAATATGTTGGGAATAAAAGCTGTGCTGCAAATCTTTTTGAGCAAATAATTCGCAACATTTGCTCGTCCCTCAACCGACTACCAGAACATTCTCGGTATCCTTTTCCTCCTTATCCGAATTCTTGTTTTTTCTGAACAGCAGCGGACACATACCCAGGATACAACCCAGCGTAACGCCCAATACTCGCCCCGCGTTGGCAGAGTTTCTAGAACAAGGCATATCCAGTTGAATGGGAGACAGTCTGGGCGGTCGGAAACCAATTCTGTTGGCCAACCTTTCCACGTAAAAAGCAGAGCCTATGCCTAGAATGTCGGAAATGGTATTTCCTAACGCTGCAGCGCCCATGGTGGTGAAACAAAAATAGGAACCTAGATACAAGTCGATGTAGTCGCCCTGAAATCAAGTGATTATCGAGTGTTCCAGGAAATGGTAGAAACTTACGAAAATTAACATGAAAAAGTTGTCCAGGAATCCAAAACCGATGAAGGGGATAGAGTTAGCTATAGCGACTGAAAAACAAAATTAATGAAACCAAAAGTTTTATCGAACAACAAGGTAAATGAAATTACTATCAATTCAAGACCATTTTCGATTATATGATTTTATCAGAAGCAAGTAAAAACTTTTTTCCATTTAGCCTGTACTGCAAACTTCGAAGTTTCGGGGCAAGATACTTGTTTCAACACCTCATCAGCACTGTTTTGGATAACACCAAAAGACGAAGCATACATTTCTTTCATAGCATTACGACTTCATATCACCGGAAGAGACAAATCTGCTCTTGTTACGGTGCTGACGAGATGAGACAAGTCCAGAAACTTCGAAGTACACATTTGAGGATGATAGTGTTCATGTAGGAGACATTTTATATCAATACTGTTTCATATATCACATTGTGGAACGTCCGTATGAATTGTATCTGTTCAAATTCCATACAGAATGTTTGTAGTACGAATGAGAAAAAAAACTTCGTGTAGATCAATGTTCGTGCATGTAAAAGTAGTTGTTTCGAACGGGTTTTTCTTAGTTTGTATCTGAAAATATTTCTTGAGTATGCTATACATATCTTTATGAAAAGTTTTTATTCTAGTTATTTTTTTCTGCTTCTCTTTGGAAGTTGCACACAAGCTGAAAAGTTTTTTCCCGAAACCCACAAAAGTGGGTGAACGATCTCACTCAATGAAAAATAAACACTTATCAGTTTCTGATTATCAGTAGAGTTCCTTTTTAAAGTAAGACTATTGTGCGATTTTCACTTGACATTTTACAAAACAGTAACAAATGTTTCGCTATAAAATAGCTTCCTCAGGTGAGTATGAACATGCATGAGTAATACGATAAAGTGTTACTTTAATGAGTTATGTTACATTTAGTAAAGTTCCTACTGTGTTAAATCCAAAAATTGCGATTCAGAATTTTTTGTTTCTTATGTTTGTCTTGAAGAAAAACCAGCTACCTGAAATAGTGACAACTTTCAGTTTTCAGAAATCTTATATTTGAAACAAAATAGTTACAGAACATGTGTTACAAAAACTTTCTCCACATCATTGTATTTTCAATGAAAATACCTCACCGACAATTTTTAAGATGAAAACACATTAGGTATTAGTTTCACCAAAAAGTACAAGCTATGTAATGGGACTTAGCTTTTCCGAATAACTGTTTGGTATATGAATTTATTAAACACATTTCATGACTACTCACTGTCGAATAAGTTTTTAGTTGAAGGTCTGGGAACTGAGGCAGCTGTAAAAAACAATCAAGTTAGAAAATAGAAAAAATTACAGTGTATTACGTGTTAGTTTTCATGCAAATCGGCGGAGTTTTGATAATGTAAATTTTACTTGACATTAAAATACTGTATAAGAATAAAATATGAAGTTAAATTGACGAATTTCTAAGAAAAGACATGTAATTTCTAAGGTGAATTTGAATACAGTATAAATTGAATTGTTTTGCATGTTTCAAGTTACTCGAAATATTTTATTAATTTAATTTGAACAGATTTTAAAACAGATTTTAAAACTGTGGTTTGCAAAAAGCAATCAGTTTTACCGTAAAAAAATTGATCTGAAAATGACCCAATTCACTTGAAAGTAATACGTGATATTCTTGATACATTAGCCAAAAAATATACAATGATATGAAATGTGATAGTGAATACTATTTTCAAGTTATCCTTTCATTTTGGGTGGTTTTTGCAAAAAAAAACACATCAACGAAGCATACAAAAAAAGCAAACATGCAATGTTGAATTATGATCCGTTAATGTCTAAATGCGTAAGTGAAAATTTAAAAAAGTTTCTACGTAAGTAAATCTAGCTTATGATATCCAGAATATTGAAACAATAAATCGAGCAAGATCACCTCTGAAAAAATATATTCGTGACATAATATAAATACCGTCAGAACCTGTTTATTTATTTTTTCTTTTAGTGTAATTAAACCGTGAAAACTCAGTTTTCAGCAGTGTTTTACGTCTGAGATAAAATTGAACTCGCAAACGGTGAGTTATAAATAACGATTTAGTGATAACTTTGGAGTTTGGTTTGTTGCAGAAACCATGATGATGATAAAGTTAGACAAATTCATTCAATACTACCGGCAATTCATGAAACTTAAAACATCGTAAAAGTGTTGAAACCAATGAAAATAAAATGTATAAAAGTACTTACCAAGTTGAAAATTTCATGTGATAGATACATTTTTTTTACATTTTGATCATTTCTGTTTTTCACCCAAACAGCTTCTCGGTTCGGCAGGTTGGTGCAGTAAATAAGGAGGAACAAGAATTTACAAATAAGTTCGTGAATTCATTCGAGTGGGCAATAATTAATCATCTTATAAATAACACTTACTGAAGTTGACTATATACTTTTATCATAAATTGATAGGTATAAATACCAAGAAATAAATAAATAGATTGCGATGAACCTAAGTTATTGCTCTAGAAATAATAACTGATTGATAATGAATGAATTGTTCTACAACTAAGTACTATGCTTTAAAAAACAAAAATCAGCATCCCAATTTCCATATTCTTCTTACCATACCCTGCACAATATTTTAGAACCAAAACCAAGCATATTCCCAGCATGTCGGTTAGTAAATATCAAAGATCTAAAATCAACAAAAATGTTCCTACCCATTTTCTTTTTAAGCCAATCCTCAGGAAACGGACAAAAGGATCCTGTTGGATCTACGTCCCCTAATCTGGGCAGCTTGCTGGGCCTGCCATACTTGCTCCTCCACCTCGAGGCTGCCAGTTGACCTTGAATGACATCCTATCTTCATGTTTACATTTCTCAAAAATAAAGGCTTCGTCTTAATATGGCCTAAACCAAATACGTGAATATATGTATACTTAGTGCGTTCATAGATTTTGGCGGATTCGCCGATTCTACGAGTTGTATACTAGATATATTACCAGATATAATTTAATCCACAATATCCAACTGATATAATTTGTTTTCTTTTTACCAATAAAGGTTCATTTGCGAAGCATCCTACTTAGTAATCAGATTCTAAGCCCGATATATATGAGGTCGACTATGACGTAAATCAGATGATATGAAAACAGGACGGCAATACAAGGCCTATTAAGCTTATCGATGTTCGTGTGACGTCAAGAAAAAGCAAATCCCTCTTATTGACAGGGATGCGACAAAACAAACTTTGGGAATGCATCGACAAAATCGGCAATGCAATACTGAATTGAAAAAAATAGAATTCAATGAAACTATGGAACAGAATTTAAAATGATTTTTTGCAATATTATTTAAAGGAACCCACATTGTCCTTTTTACCAGTTTATTTCAAGCTTAATATCGATTGGATTTTTTTTAATAGATGCCAATACTTCTCTTTTAGAAGTAACAACTGATTATATTGTATTTCCTGTTATCAAAATAAACTTTCATCAAAAAGTTCATAACAGACTTTGCCATAATTAATGAGAGAATTGCGATAAATTTGCGGATACACAATCTGACCAAATAATCTCCTGGGATTCAGATTCGGCTGATATAATTCCCTCTGCAGTGAAAGTAATAGTATCCTAATCTTATCAATTCTCTGGAGTATCTCCTTAGATATAAATGGCATAATTTCATTAAGGATTACTTTCTAAAATAACTTATTTTCTTCATGTAAAATGCATATCTATTATGAATGAACTGTTCCATTACTTGATGAAAATTAAACAATATTGATGATAATAATTACACAATTTTCACAAACATCTTTATTTCTAGACACGTTTCGCTAGCATAGTAGCTTCCTACAAATTAAAATGTTTGTGAAAATTGTTTGTGAAAATTGAAAGTTTTATCATGGATGTATTACCAAAGTATTATATTTTATATTTGTTGAAATTGAAAAAGTTTGTGTATAAATTTTCATTTATATATCCAACTTTTTTGAGAATTGTTTATATGATTTGGTACCTACCACATTTGTTCAAGGAAAAAAATTTTTGATTTTAACTTTTTCGTCTAGTTTGAAATTCTGTAAGTAGGTATTTTTGAGAAAATATTCAATATAATCTGGATCTGTCTCTAAGATTCGAATTCAATGTGCTGGCGGATATAATAATTGAAATTTCCGATATAAATGAATGGAAGAAAATTATTCATTTCCCAATCACTTCAAAATATAAAAATTATTTTTTGTGGAACGTTCTATGTTGGAAAAAAAATATGTGGCATAGTACCTATTCTTGAAAAGTTGACTCGACTGATATAATACTGTTTGTGACACCCAAAAAAAATAGTGCTGTTAACGAAACTGAAAATTTAGTGCAATTGCTTCAATTTTGACAACACACAATTACTTTTAACTGCAAAATAAAAAGACACAAATTATATCACGAACGAAGTTGTACAAAAACCTGTTTAATTTACCTTCATACTCATCTTTTATCACCTTGGATTGATATTCGTGCAGGGCACTCATCAAAATATTCCTTTCTTCGCCGTTGAGTCTGAGAATCAATTCTTGTGCCTGTAACTTGGACAAACCCTGTGTCGTACTGGTGGTCTCTGCGTGACCTGCACTACCCGATATCACTGAACTTAAACTCAATTTACAATTATTTACATTTGAATTCATAAAACTTGTACATTTTACAAAATTTGTTAATTTACTTTGTTGGGGATGCAAGATAGGTATCAAATTATTCAATAAATTAGGTAAGTGTTTAGTTCTTGCTATTTTTATTGCCATTTTAAGTCTTATTTACTAAAAATTATTTATACTTTGGTAAATCTGGACATCACGTAAATTTAGGTTAAAATAAAAATGACCACATACACCATACACAAACATAAGTTAAAAACTAATTTGGAACTTGAAATCTTGAAAAATAGATTATTGACAGATGATCGATGACAAATGAATGACGTTGATGATTAAGCTCAAAACAAATTTTACACCATAGAGGAAGTAAAATGAGTTCTCCCCATTTCATGCTTCCAGTTTTGTAGACAGTGGCAGTGTTTGACAATAAAGCCGAATGAAATTATTGTGTTTCATGTGCAAAATTGTGCGATTTCATTTTGAATTATGCAACTTCGGCGATTATAGAAAACAGGTATGTATTTCTTGAATCCTTCAAATAATTCATGTGGTCCTCAGATATCTCAAACAATGGAACATTGAATATTTGAAAATAGCCTACAATTTCAACTCGATTCGACCTTGAATTCGAATGACTTTTTCCAAATGCTACTAATAGTTATCTTTCAGAAAAATCCATGATACGACCAATAAATTATCAATAATAATGCAGTTGACTACAGTTATAATAAATTATCGATAATAATAGAAACATTACTTCAAATTTCTACCTCTTGATCAACAATAGTAATAAAAACAATCATCAAATAGCATCGGACAGGTACTTAAATTTTGACAACTGAAAAGCCATCTCTGTGAAAATCTTTGGGTGGAAATAGGATCAACGGCCCCTTTTCAAATAAGGTAAACTCTTTCAGTTTTATATTATTTTAAATTGTAACCAATTTTTAAAGATTTATTCGGGTTGATGTACTTTTAAAATTAATTTTTTTTAAACTGAGACATAAGCGAATTCCTATTGAGATTTTGAATTTGACATATTATATACAGAAATTTTATTGTCTAATATGATATAATATGATTTGAAATCACTGAAAGAACAAACAAAATTAAACATAAAATTCAATTGAGCAAAAAACCGTGAAATGAAAATTGCAATAGAATAAAAATAAGCAAAAAAATAAAAAACTCTGTTTTCTGTCTCGAATCTTTGTAGAAAACACTTGAAATCAATTATATATTATGTCAAATTTCAAATATTTTGACATTGAATGACAGGTTCAGCCTTTGCTACAATAAGGATTCTTTGATTCCTTATTATCACTCCAAGTGAAACGCGAAATTAAAGATTATTCATAGAAGAGCTTGTCAAAGTATTCAATACCACAGAGTACTTAATCTGTGTCAATACGTCAACGTTATTTTTGGCGTTACTTGGTTATTCTACCAAAAGATGGAAACACATTCGCTTTTTTTCATTTTGTCAATAACACGATGCAAAAAATGAGATTGACGCAATTTTGTATACAAGACAAGGTATTCTCGGGCCGGGGCAAGAATCGAAACCGGTCCTGCGTGTCAGATCTTCAATTTATGGATCATAATGTAAAAAAACTTTCACCCTATTCACTTCACAGTGTCAACTGCCTTAGTTAAGGTATACGTTATACTCCGCACCTCTGTGAATGAAATGCTGAAATTTAATGGATTTTATTGAATCTTTATAAAGAATGCCGTAGGTCGAGAGTTTTTCACAACATACTTTACATGGGGAAAGGGTACGATAGATCAAACTAGAGATATTATATGCATCTTGTTCTATGGATGCTGGTTGGAGACGAAAAAAAAATCGCCATCGATACAGCACATCATATTTTAATTTATATTCAGTTGTTCGGCTCCGTCATTGGAATTTTGACGTGGTTCCAATTTGATTAATATTGAAAAGTTTTTTATTCTATGGAATAAAAATCCATAAATGTCAGAAATAACACATTTTGCCTTCTTCAAATATTCAGACAATATCAACAAACTATGTGGTTTCATGGTTCAAAATTTAAAATACGTTTCCTATTTCCAAGAAACTACAATGGAAAGGTATACAGGAAATAATCATTTTTTTAAATATATAGATTCAAAAGGAGCTATTTCAGAATTGATCTGAATAATGAGAAGAAACAAATATGGAAGTTTAATAAATAATTCTTTGATGCCAATTAAAATTTTACTGTCTTGGAAAACCGTTTGTCATTTGGCGACAGTCAATTATTCCCTGAAATATGGATGTTCCAGATTTGAATTAATTTGCCAACAGAACATTGAGCTGTCTTGTTTGATGACCACATTTCTATGTTGTGTGAATTTCATAGTGGAATTTTTTTTTATTCTTTATAACAGTCTGCAGAAAGGTGCGTACTTTTAATTTATGAATAGAATTTTTCAAGTGAAGGCTTTGGTTTATATAGATTTTTAGTTGATTCTAAGAATCGTAGATGAAAAATATCAAGTCTTGATTTTGTAAATTCCTTAATGGTTTTAAAGTTGTATTTGAAAGTTCCTTATATACTAAATAATAATGCATTTTTGAATGGTTAGGTGAAAAGTAAATTATCTGGATGATTTGTAATTACTTTTTTCGAATTATATCAATCTGAATATTGCACGAAAATGTTTCGTTAATATATCATAAACTCAAAAACAGAACAATGGTGAACCTTTCAATTTTGTTGTGTCCTAACACTAATTTGGCAGTTGTCTCAATAAATGAATATAAATGATTTTTTGAAATTCAGATTTAATTTGTGTATTTGTCTTCATTTGTTGGTGTAATTCCTATATAGATTTTATAAGAATGAGAAAGAGTAATGGCCCTAAACTGCTTTTATTCAATATTCTGATGTTTGGTTCAGCAGTTACCGTTTTTCAGTTCACATCTCAACCTGATTGATCTAATTCTCATTTACTACTACGATATAATCATGAAAAAAAATTTAGAATGAAATGACACAAATCAAAATAATAGTATTTACTAGGACTTCTGTAATGTAAACAGATTAATATCAGGTTTCAACACTTTTGGTGATAAAATCTAGAATTTATACAATTCTGCAAAATACATAATACAAAAGTCAGGTTTATTAGTAGTTCTATATATAACTGTAATTAATCTAAGAACCTTCTTTTATTGAAATTACTTGTTATCACAAAGTTTGAAAACATACGAAATAGATAGGACCAGGTTAAATATAAGTTCAACTACTTCATTCCATTCCCTGTAATCGGGCTGACACTGTTAAACAACCTATCTTTGATCATCTGAGCCATAAGGCCGTGAATAATTTCGATTGTAGTCTTGCAACTGTCTTTAGTGGCTTTGAGAAGCTTATCCTCCGTCCTTTTATCATGGGGATCAGGTAATCCCACCATGAATCCCCCACGCCCTGCAACAGTTAAGGCAAGTCAAATAATGGCTTGAAATTCCATATTCATTCTAATTTACACAAACCTATAATAGCAGCTTCAGACTGCTCCAATTTCTCTGACAAGTCGAATATCTGTCCAGTGGTGTAGTCAGCATTGGTCAGTAAACTAGAAGAACTCAGAGTGTTGACCCAGTATTTGTTCCAGAGAGAATCCAAAAGTCTCCTGTCCAGAGCTGATTTGAAATACGACACTTCGAGTGAATAGTACTGTTTGCAGTGTACGCCAAAGTCTTCTATCTTATTCAGTGGAATAGTCTGGTACTCGGAAGGTTCCTCATTCGCAGGTTTGTACCCCTGAAAATTATTTATTGTAGCAAGCAAAATGGTTTTCTATTAGGAAATTTCACCTTGGGGTATGTCCTGAAGGCTCCTAGACAAACTTTTCCTGCTGAAATTGTACGAACTGGATCGATAACTATGGCCACAAAAGGCTCTTGAAAATTTTGATTCAGCATTTGTGTGCTTACGTCTATTCCAGATAACCAACAACCATATCCAGGATGGCTGTGATACCATCCAATTGCATTTTCTTGTCTTCCTACCTGAAGAAAAATTATTAGAATACTTTGCTTTACGTTGAACTATCAGAACTACACCAAAGAGAAAAAGATTTTGTTGAGTCAGGTCATGACGTAGTTTTATGCTATTTTACTGTTAGGCCGGCAGAACAGAATCCAAATCCTTCATATTTGAAAATCTAGAATTTGCTATAGTTTTAGGCTTCTTTCAACTTCATTTTAGCTTGAAAAATTTTTTTTTAATTCTTCAAGTTCAACAGAAATTGAGATATATTGAGGATTTTAAATTAACTTTCCACTTCTCTATGATTTTCGACCTTTTTCAATCAGTGGATTTTGTCTTTTTTACTTCCTAGTAGAAAATCAGACACAGGTAAGAAACTGAGCCTGAAATGAGTCTGAAATTTTCAATATATTTTGATATTCCCATACTCAAAATAGTAAAATATTTAATTTTTCACACTTCAAATGTCTGGTGGGATACATTCGTATCCTTCTCATTCACAGTAAAACTAGCCTTGTCTAGGTAAAGAGAAAACATCACATTGAAAAAGTGAAAATAAGATCTAAAAAATAAGTTGGATCATTGATTTTCAATTGGAACATTCATATGGGTTGTAGGATTTCTGTAGTAACAAATATTAGCCAACATATCAATACAATACTCTAATTCAAAAGTAATATCTTAGTTTTGGACTTACAAGTTTGGCGGCCTCTATGTAGGAACTCATATACTCATAGGCTTGCGCTTGAGCATTCACTCGTGTTTCAGTGCCTTCTACTGGTAAAGCAAATGAATCCATGACAAACATAGTATTTCCATCAACTTTCCCCAAAATCAGACCCATCACTTCCAGAGTACCTCCAGATCTAGCATGCATCACCATTTTTAGAAGGGCCAAGGCAGAAATTCTTATGTCTTTAAAAAAATGTGGGCTGAAATTGTATACAAAAATATTGTTCACTTCATATAACTGATGTCGAACTAAGCCAAGGTGGATTCATGCACCCAGTTTCAAGTAGTAAGAAATCATAGGCCTTGTATCATTAATTGGGTTGTTAGTTTCAGTAGTAACAAATGAAAAATATGAATTATTAAGACTTACAACTTGAGACATTGGACTAGACACTATTGTTTGAATACACCCTTAACCTTTCACAAAGACCACAATAATTCTCTTACTCTTTTTCCCAAGGTTTTGCTGCTAAAATGTCTTGTTGCTGTTTCTTGTCATAACGATAAATTTCATCCACAGAGCTCACCACTTCCACGGCATTATTCAATTCCCAATTTTTTTGGGCTATCTGGGATTGACTTTCATATTGGGATGATGGAGGTTCAACGGAACTTGAGCTAGTTGCTTTCGACATTTTTGCTTTTTCCGAAATGTTACCCTCGAACGATGAGATAATTATTATTTTTTCGATTTTTTCGCTGGTTTTTCAATGTTTTATTTGCGGCATTCCCAAAAAACAAATCTCAATCTCTCTTTTCTCAGCATGTCCATAGACAACAAAACATGACAAGTTGGCAGTGTTGCCAATAGAAATTGCATAAAATACTCCAAAACTTGAGACAAAATACCTACTAATATTTTACTCAAACATTATTGAAAATCCTCACAAATTCCTCGCATAGCTTACTCTGAACTGGCTTCAGAAAATTCATGATAAATGTAAACTTCATATACAATTTGAAAATATTTACTATAAAAGAAATAGATAAGTAGGAGTTCTGGTAAAAACATCAGAATTTATATTGTATATAATATCAAAATGAACTATAAATCTACTTATATTAAATTTTAAAATATTCAAAAGTAACTCACTGTGTAATAGGTAGCATTACCACAAAACCACAAAATTGTATCGACAAATCTTCATGTTTTTTACGAGAACCTTCTTATTTAGCAATATCATGAGAGCAAAATCAACATGATGAAACCACGAATCCGTAGGACGAGTGGTTTTATCTATTGCTGGTTGTTAAATTGGTATTGCTCAAAAATAATAAAGTTGGGTGTTGAAAAAAAATGGATATTTATCAGAGACAATTTTTAGGTGGAGTGGTATTCGTAAAGATTACTTCCTGAAATATTCTCAGCTGAAAGCGTCGGTGTTAGAACAAAATTACGATCATCAAATTAACAAAATTTCATTACCTGTAAAGCGAGAAATTTCAGCAAGAACATTTGTTTTTGAAAGTACAATGTTTGAAGATATGAACGTAAATGACTAACCCGTATTTGTCAACAATAGCCGACTTACCTACTAGATACGGCTTGATATGTGATTCATTGAATTATAGTGACAATTCATTTCTCATTTCGGTCTGTTCATTGTATTGGTGAGTTTTATTTGATTCACATTTTAATTTTGGTTATTTCAGTAGAGTTAGGATTTAGTTACTGTCATAATCACAATGTCAATTTAACCCTTGAATTTCTGTAGAAGCATTTGTGGAAAGTTTTAATAAATAGTCACGATCATATTAGACAATTTATCATTAGTTCAATTCAATAAGGCCAGTAAGAATAATTGAAATTGTGAGAATGATGCAAAGCTAGGACCCGAGAATCACGTAAATGATTCAAGGATAATCACTAGAACTAGACATTAATTTCATGGCCATCAGTTTTATTGCTGTTAAAGCGAAGCGGTTTTGTTTTGCCAAAAACATTCGATGCTTGAAATGGGATTGATCCAACTCTGTACAGACATGTTGACAGATGGAACAAGAATCGTTTCCAAATGTAAACATTCGTGTGCGCTCAATGCTTCTGTGAACGGAATGTATTCCCTAAGCCTAAGTATATCTACAGTCGGAATTATTGAGAACATGGTTGTTTTATGAATCGATTTAAAGGTCAATCTTTGATAATCTGTTATTGTTATGGAAGCATTTTGAATTATTGATGTGATTATTGTGGGTAAATTTTCGTTATGTGGACACCCGGCGATTTTGAAAAAATTTTTGACTGTACTTACGTATTTTGATGCGTAGATTACGAATCCGAAAGAAAAAAGTGGCGCTCTCCCTTTTTTTCAAAATCGCCGGGTATCCACATAACGAAAATTTACCTTATTGTGCTTTGTCTCTTTGGTTATGATTTCGGAAATTAGTGTTGAGTGATTTGTGGGTGAAATACGTTTAGTTTTCAGTTCAGTTATCCAAGAGATGAAAAGACATTTCTACAAAATCTCTCCGAGTACATATATAGCAGGTGAGCAGTAAATCTTTATCATTTAAAAATAGACAAACATCTAGATTCACATCACGAGTGAATGGAATATGTATGTTTATATATTATACAAGAATATTTATCCGCCTACCTACTAACTGTCTTTTCATTTTAATAATTTTTTATATTCAATTATAGATTGTTTTAAATGTAAAACAATACCTCGGAGGAACGCGGGGGAAAAGCCGCGAGTCATTGAGTAACTCACATTTTTTTTATGTCATCAGCATCGACTACCTCGGTCATTAGCCTCGTGTCCTGGGCATGCAATATTAATAACTCCTCGAGCCACCTAGGGAGCATCATGACTATTCGCAGTACATCAGCCATATAACGTTGCAGAACTCACTTCAACTAGATAAAGTCTTTAGAGAAAATCTTCCGCTCGTGAGTCGGGCGCAGTACTACTGCGCCAATTCACCGCTAGGGACATAAGTCCTTTCCAAACATAATAAGCTCAAACGCATCCGAAATCAGTAATTATTATTTTTCAATAGTTTTGTCTCATAGTTTTGCGTCCGAGCTTTTCTTACTTCCCCACCCCTCATGTCAATTGCATTAAACATTTCTGTCACGAATATTTTTTATCAAATTTTGATAAATTTCGCAAAAATAACAAAATTGGGTATGATGATGGTACTATTAGCTATTTTTGTCATTCTCAATCAAGATTACGTGACGTAAGCACGAGACTTGCCGTACCATTTCATTTCACATGGTTAAGCTGAAGACGAACAATTTCTTCAATTTCCAAATTCCACGAATGGTAACATTCGTCAGCACTTGAATAATTATTCTGTATTCAACTCCGATATCCAAATTTTACAAAAAATGGAACTGAGAGATTTAACGACCAAAGATTCATTTAATAAACAGAATCGCAAGGGATACGTTTTTTGGCAGATCTCAGAGTTCTTAGTTTCAGTTTGACATCATAAAAACATTTAAATTTATATTATCAATTTGAAGCATGTTCCTTTCTTTTGTGATAGAGACAATGCCAAAACCAGAGAACGTGCTTTGTGGCCTAAACCCAGTCTGTGGAATGGACTGAATGGAGCACAAATAACAGATGGCAGGTGACACAGAACGTTTTTTTTGTTTGAGTGTTAGAGTATCAGATATGAATTTGAAAATAAATTTATATTTTTCAACCTCTAAGTATAAATTCAGTTCATGGCCAAAATAATCTTGACACGTACCTTAGCTATGTTGTCGTGATAACGCCGAAATTTTATCTTGTTTTTTTTTGACTTATTCCACTAATTTCAGTGACATCCTGCCTTTGAAGCATTTAAAAAGCAAATGTTTGTAGGTACTCGAGCATTTACCCAATAAACAGATAATTTTTTGGTATGTATATATAGAAATGAAGGGAATTCACTGAATTAATAATGTGATAATTTCAAATTCTCTTTCAGTTCTTGTCATAACTTGACACAAAGCCTGCCCTTTGAACTTTATAAATCATGAGGGGTTTATCAAGAATTTTACAGCCGCACAAGGAAACTGTAGGTCAAATTGCCAGCGTTGTTACAATAGCCCAGTTTTTTTCAGGGGCTTTTGTTTGTAAGGACATATATAGAAAAGGAACAACACAAGGCACCCCCTCGACTCCTTTTATTGGGGGTCTCGTTGTGTAAGTAACTGTGGCATATAACAGGATGTTATTATAAAAACTTTAGTATTAGACTGAAACCTTGCACCAATCTAGTATATGTTAATTTATCTTATTACTCCTCATTAATTCTTAAACAATTCTGATAAGAACTTCAGAATAATCATCAAGTAGGTAAAAATATTTGGAATTAACATCATTTAATTAGTTCCTGTCTTGCTCGATATGTTCTAGTTTATGAGACAGTCTTCTCTTAAAGTAGAACACATATCACCCCAAATATCTGATTTAATTGTAGGTGTTGGGTTTCCATCGCCACTCTCATTATAAATAGAAAATAATTAATTTACTGACTCCTTTTAGAGGTATGCTGATGCTCAAACATGCCATACTTCTGAATGATCCTGCCATGCTACAAGTCAATGTAGCAGCCATCATCCTGAATATCATCTACACATCTTTTTATTATGTGTACTCCAGTGAAAAGTATCAGGAAATACTGAAACCCCTTGCTATTGGCGTTGGCATGGTGGCAATATTTTTTGGTTATGCAGAGATAGAAGACCCGCGCAATTTGGAATATCGATATGGTCTGATTGTCACTTTGCTGATGTTGCTGCTTATTGCCTCACCTCTTCTAGATTTGGTTAGTTGAATGAAAGTAACTCAGCTTTATTCACTTTCCTGCCATATAGTTCATCTCTTATATACTTGCATTGAAACTTTCTTTGACAAATCATTCCAGCTGTAGAAAACATTTAATTATTGACTTTGATGTACCTTTTAAGTAATCCTATTTTTTTAAGAAAGTACCCTGTAATCATCATTCAAAAAAGGTTTTGGTGAAAATCCCTGAATTTATGATATGCAATCCATATTTTTATAATAATATTTTTTTGCCCAACAGTTTTTCGTAAATACAGCAAAAGTTACATACATTCTTAGCAATATTGGATATAAGGAGAGTTATTGTTTTCTTTAAGAGAAATATTGAGTAATTGATGACTTCAACATCAGGTCAGTTTGTGCTCTTTCGCATATAAAAGCATTATTTTGCCCGGATAACAAACTTGGAACTTGGTACAAAGATATTATTAAATGGTAGATAGATTATCTTCATATTATGATAGTATAAAATAGTCCCCATTCAGTAGCAACAACAAATTATTTTTATTTGTAAACTTCAAGATCGTTTCAATACAATAAAAAAGTAATGAAGTTTTTTTATCTTTGATGCACAAAAATATCACATATATAAATGAAAAGTATGGCTAATCATCCTGCGAAGCAAAAGTTTGCATTTGATTATATAAATCGCCGCTGAATATTTTTTCGTGATATTCACAAGTTATTCCTGGCATTTATGTATTATCACTCCTCTGAATCATAGAAGTTTCAAAAATGAAATAAATAAGAAGGGATTCATTCCTTTTTCCAAAATGACTTTTTTTAAATTTTTCCTATATATTTCAAATATACTAAATTTTGAATAATAAACTATTTTTTTCAATATACTAAATCTTTTCATTGAAAGCAGTAAAATTTGAAGGTCTTCAATTATTTTAATTACACATCTCAATATTATATGTCAAATATTAGTGTTGCCAATCAAGAAATGATTGAAACATATTGGTCAGTTTTATTGTGGGTTCTCTATTATTGATAAAATGAAAAAAGTGTTGTTGAATTATAATTATATCAATGGACCTTTACAAGTATTTCAGTGTTTTGGATAGATATCTAGAAAATGTTGTGTGCTATTTCCAGTGTTTTCTTCAAGAATTTAATAAAGGGAACGTCATCTAATTTTCATTTGAAATTTATATATTTTCGTTTCACGAAGAATATTGTCCAAATTTTTAGAGGTGTTACTGACAAGTTACACCTCTATAAACAAATTTTATTCAAATACGGTAATATTTCTGGTCAAATTTAGGAATGTATCCTTGCCATATTGGATTCATTTCAAAAGTTTTTTCTTTCATTTGGGAAGAGTGAAAACACATGAATGTCATAAGAAATTGAATTGTATATGAATGGTTTATCTGCTTGAACTATCAAGCAGATTAGTAGCATAACACAAGTGTTAAGTCACTTAGATGCTATTTTATACACATTCCTTACTTTATGTACTGCAATTACTGTCTTCATATCTGTCTCCTCATTAGTGTTTTATTCTTATTTTTCTTTTATTCTCTGTATCGATTAAATAAATATATGAAAAATCAAATTATTGCATTTCAGAAACAAATTATAGAGAAAAAAGATGCATCATCAATTCCTTTTCCTCTAACATTTATGGGAGCAATCGTCAGTTTCTTGTGGTTGCTCTATGGAATTATCTTGATGAACGAGTTTATGATGGTGAGTAAAAAAATATTCGAAATACTTTTTCTATAAACATCTCTTGTTTTCTAGATACAAAATGCGATTGGATTCGTCCTGTGTGTGGGGCAGTTAATCTTGATTTTCATGTATCCTGCAAGGCCTGAAGGTCAGAGTAGCAAAAGGAAAAAAACTGTCAAAAGAGAATAGAGGGAAGTTTCTTTGATAGTAATAATTGTAACATAATTTTACATTCCAGGTGATGTTGCTCCTGAATAAAAGAATAGAAAGAAAAATAATATTTTTGCGATCCAGTTTGTTGCTGAGATTGTGCTTTATTATGTTATTTGAGTGGATAGAAAATTTGTTGTTATATTAATATGTGACTGAAATTTAAAATTGAAATAATTTGTTATTATCAGCTTTTTTTTTGTACCAGCCGTGATACTTGTTGACTCTCATAGGTTGTTATCATTACATTTGTCTAATACCCTATGTCTGATTACAACTTTCTTTGTGACTAGTCCGATAGGTTTATATATTGTAGAGTAGCAATGACATCTTCCCTTACGAAGATGCCGACTATAGAATTGATAGAAGTCTCAATTTACGAATATCAAAAATAAGCAAGGCTCCCCAAGGAGGTCCATTACAAGCCAATCCATTACTGCAAAGCAGCTAGTCAAATCCAGAAGCCAAAAACAACTGATTTTATTCATTCAGGGGAAACTCCCGATTATATACAATATCGGATTGTTAACACTACCTTAACTTTGATCTAATTTACTTATCAATTAAATATAAATTAAAACAGTTATGATAGTGAGTTGCATTGAAGCACAAAAATCGATTCAAATCACAGAGAAATTAAAAGTAATATTACATATACTTGTGGTTTACAAATCAATATTTTGTATCTTATTTTTTCGAGTATCCTCAGAAATATGAAAGAGATCAAATTCAGTCTTGCTCCTATTCGTGACTATTTTCAATAAAGGAGAATACATTCCATAGTTACATCTATGGTAATTGACAGCAGTGTATGTTTTTTGAGAGAGATTAGTTTTTGAAAAGAAAGCAAAGTCGTTTCGAAACTGCTCTCGCATGAACACTGAATTATACGAAAATCACATTTTCTTATTTCATTTGAACTTGAAAATATTTTGTTATGGAAGTGAAAAAGATATTCATAAGAATTCTATACAAAATATGAAAAAGCAATGATGGAAATTTCACATACATAAAAATGAATAAGAAAAAGTTATTCTTGTATAATTCAGTGTTCATAAGAAAGTTGTTTCCAGAATACTTTTTCTTTCCCGTGAAAGTAGTTACCTATATATCTAGGGGGTTTCTATCTAATAGTGATATCTACACACAGGTAAACAAACAACTTTTTTTTTATTTTATTACACAGAATAGTTCTTATAAACAAGAAAACGCTCAAGACTTTTGAAAGAATCGTTTTAAAAGGTATGTTGTCAGTGACAGCTGCAGATATTTCAATATTTGGCGCGCATGTTCATTTTCATGTTAACCAAGTTCTTAACTGCTGTAAATTTAAGGTTACCATCTACCGAATTGCGCGGTTGAAAGCGAACATGATTTTAATTCCTGAGTTACAATTTTATGTATCTGAACGGTACAAAAACTGTAAGTTCTGTGGTATTTAGTGATATTCTGTGTTAGTGGAATTTTGCTTCATATGTAACGACTTTATAGTTCAGTTGGCAACACTGACTCTTGGTTATTAGTTGAATACTAGCGACCTCCCCCGTCACGGGTGCAATGCTGATACTGAATATAAATTCACCCACCGAAAATTTTAGGCACGGGGAAACAGAGATGTAAAAGATTATTTTGTTTTATGTACGCCCTGCGGCTGGCGTCCCAGTTGGAATATTTAAAAACCCTTTCTCATTGCACATCTAAAACATGAAACAGTTTCGAAACGATGCTCTCACATCTTCTGATGAAGCTAACTATTTAGGAAAATGCGCGTCGAGAGATGGTTCAGGCGAGGAAGTGTTTTCAATTGATTTATTATAATTATTTTTTGAACGACATTTTTTTGAGGAAGAATCAATATTTCATACTGTTTTTTGAGTTTATAACCTACCATAATCTGAAAAAATTGAAGATAAATTAATAAAGAATCTGCTGAAGTGTAATATAGGGCAAACTGAAAAGTTGCCGCGTGATATAAACCACTGGAAAGTCCAATTAGTCACTAACTTATTCATAAATTTTGCCTAAAAATTGAAAATTATAAATACTAGAAATGTGCCAGGTATTGGAAAATTTTAAAATATACAGGGTGTTACATTTTCCAACCTCAAATATAACCAGAAGTGTTAGAGAAAGGACATTATTTTCATTCAATAAAGCATACTGAAAAACCTGGATATGAATCCTATTATTTCCCAAAATACGGCTAACTGACGGTGATCACGCTGGCCATATGAATTGTGTAATGTAATGCGAACTGATGGGTATGGATTAATTCAACATTTATTTTCCTATTTTAAGAGCATGTTAATTTTTACAATCAATTTTTTAGTTTGCCATGGGTTTACTCTTCTTGTCACAAATTGATTTGTACGTTTGTAGTAGTTTTTAAATCCACTATTTCAGATCGGTTTTACTGAATATTTTTCTGTTAGTTTTTCGTTCATGTAGCATACTCTCAAGTATTGATTTTAGTACCTTGTGTGAAATCTTTCACGAGTTAAACATATTTTCAAAAACTTCAATTAGATTTTTATTAAAAACTTTTATCGGTTGTGATGGATAAAAAATAAACCGTTTTGTTTTATTTTCGTAGAGGCGATGACTTCTTCCCTTAAGAAACCCCATAATATGGGGTCGAATATCAAAGTTATAAACGAGGCTCCCAAAAAGGCAATTCATTATTCATTGAACACTCAACCTTCGACATCGACTGCCGAACGAGATTCATCCTCGTCAAAAACAATTTCTATGAAACAAAATAGTAATCAACCATTCGAGGTGCATTAAAATCGGAGTCAGGTCGAATTTTAATTTATTAAAAAAGAATAAATACAAATGATTTAACTCGAATAATTTCATACATTCGATTGAACAATATGAAAGGAATGTTGAGAAACGAATGCAACGTGAGGTGGTTTGAATTGTACTTGCCACATCGTTTTTGAGGCAAACTACATAAGTCATATTAATGTAAATGTCATGGTTTTCTTCTCAGTCTATGTATAAAATTATAACTTTTTGTATGGTTATTTATATTCACTGGAATATTTTAACACATTTTCCGTTGGCATTTCTTGCATATCCTTCAGTACAGGTATCCGGTACATTTACATTATTTCTGTTTCCCAAGTCTGGAATTGTGTTGTTCGACTGAGGTTTTATATGTTCATCGTCTCCTTTGGTTCTATTAATGAAATTTGAATTCGATTCATTTTTACCTTGAAAGATATTTCGATCCACTTTTTTCTGATTATACGATTTCTCTATTTGAGAAAAGGTTTTTTCGGTCGCTGTACTTGATTTAGGATTCTCGTTTCTAACATTATGAGGAAGAGGTCTGATTTTGAATTTTGTGTTTGTATTGAGACTCTCGTCTGCTTTTGAGTTGAAACCTGAAACAGAATTCAATACATTTTCCAATACTAAATTTTTGAAAGAAAATATCAGTTTTCATCATATATAGCATATATTGTACACATGTATGAGTAGAATGATGTGTATGCAGTTAGTTACCGATTTCTACATACTAAAGTAGCAAGTGTGTGTATAAATTATATCCATGTTCCAATATATTGAATATAACTTCATTCAAAAAATATTCAAAAATGATTCAAAACTTTTTATTCCTTCATTGATAGTGCTAATGAACTTCTTATTCATCATAAATTGACCATTAGCATGAATTAATTATTAGATATATTCTTCTAATTCCGACCACTTATATTGAACTGCAGAAAACCTATATTGTTTATAAATATTTTTATAAGAAATATTACAAGTCGTCAATACCATTATAGTCAGCACTTTTTTAGTTTAGCACAGTTTTCAAGTGATCTTTTTATAATTGAAGAGAACAAAATCTGGGCTGGTGACCATGTGCGAATGGAACCTGAGGTACCAAACATTTCGCCTGTTCTTGTGATGCACTGTTTGAAACCTTTGGTGTAGTAATGAATATTACTGAAATTTTTTCCAACACCAAACCGTTATTTTAACACCTTGTCATGTGTTCCGACCACCAAGTTATCATCTTCATGAGGAAGAATAAACTACTTTTCATTCCGCTTGAAGGTGATCACTTGGTGATCGAAACACGTGTCGAGGTCTTAAAGATAACGGTTTGGTGTTGGTAAAAAACTCCAGTAATATTCATTTCGTCTGTTACTGAGGCAGAAATCAACAGTGGTATGAGATTTGATTGAGGACGAAGATTATATCTCGAAGTATCAGCAATGACTTCAACAGTGAAAACCTATGTTCTTATATGATGTTTTTATAATTCTTCTTTTTTTTACTGTTTTTTAGATTTGTCTCAAATGTATGCGGTGAAAGAGAAGTATAAAAATATTTCTCAGAAAGTAGGTTTTGATATCTTTCGAAAAAAATTTAAATTTTGAAACATATTCCATTTCTATTCTAGTTCTACTTTCAAATAACATATGTTTTATTCAAGAGATATTGCATAGATGTTGTAATCAGATAAATATAATGGACAAGCAAATGCTGAACAAATAAATTATTTTAGGTGGATATTTTATAGAAACTCGATCCAAGTAAATCAACAGAAATGAGAATATATGATATCGGATTAATTCCTCGAACTATATATTTGATAAGAGTGAGTAAACACACACAGACACGAATAATAAATATATAATTCAAGAACATTCGATATATAAATTATTCATTTTTTGTGGAGTGATTTGTTGGGTTCATTAAGGAATATTATTCAAAGTATTCAAGAAGAAAAATTACATTATTAACAACAACCAAAAAAGACCCTTGCATTTTGATTTTGAATGATGGTTTCATAATATTATTTTTCATGAATCCTACATTTTTTTCATTGAAGGTTGTTTATAGTAGGTTTTCCTTGAAATAATTTCATGTATCTACCTGTATCAACCGACGACCCCCGATTATATTCGTTGTAGTCTCTCCTATCGGAATTCATGTGATTTGTGTCTTCGAATAGAATCGGATTCCTTTCCGTCACTCTGCTCAAGTCAATGTGTTCAATAAATGGTACTCTTCTAGATGTGCTACCACCATAACCATTTACGTTTTCTGTGACCGGATATGTTTTAGGTCTATTTCCGAACTCGCCATTTCGATTTTGTCCATTTTCACCAAAGTGCCTTTGATCATTTTCTGGAGTTGCCTGATTTCTTCTTTCAAATACGTTTTCTAAGATTTGTCGGTCGATTTCTTCTTTACTCGGCCGCCGGAAGTTATTTTTTAAATGTATGCAGCAAGTCCCTCTGACGTCATTTGTTTCAAAAGGAATCACTTCACATTTGAACTGTTCACTCATCGATTGTATCACTGAAAATGTAAACAACACAACTAACTGCGATAACATGTCGATTTATAATGAGCAAAACTTGACCGAGAACAAAATCGAGACGGTATGAAGGAAAAGTTATATAACGTAATTTAAATAACGACAATTATCTACAGTCATGATCTGCGGTAGTTTTCCAACTTCCTGTTGATCTTTCACTTCCATGGGAGTCTCTATAATTAAAGTACTTATTTTCTTTTGTTTCGGGTAACTGAATCTACATTATTCACATTGTTATATGTGTGTGTATTATTGTTGTGATTATTAATTTTTACATGTAGGTAGGCATGGTTGCGTCGACCTTGCGAATTTTCATTCTTCACCTTGTGCTACTCGGCATGATTATGAGTTCGTGGTGTATTGAGTTGGCTTTTGTATACTGAAATCAAAACGGAGAGGATTGCTGAAAATACCGGAAATATAAACTTTCTCCGTGACATTTTTATAAACTCCCTTGATAACGTTTGTATGGTGTTTCGACAGAATATATTATTTAGGCGCTATGCATTAACTGGGTGACAACTAAATAATCCTACAGAGCGCCATTCAGTTTTGTTCCTAAGTAAAAAAATTGAATATTTGTTTGAAGGTGGTTGACAATGTTTCACGGTGAATTTCATTAGTTCGGTCTTCCATTGTCTAATATGGTTTGAAATCCCCGAAAGAACCAATACAATTGAAAATTAAAATGAATAGCTAAAAATAACAATTATATTGAATGAAAAACCCTGAAATTAAATTACAATAAAATAAAATACAAGCAAAAAATTGAACAATTATGCAAAAAAAGAAAATAAGAATTAAAGAATTTCAAGCCAAGTTAGTTCACGCCGTTTCGATTGTTAGTATCCACAATCGTCTTCGGATGATGACAGTCCTCACTCGAATTTTTTGCTTGTATTTAATTTTATTGTAATTTCATCCCAATGTTTTTTGCTTAATAACATTGTTATTTTCAACTATTCATTTTAATTTTCAATTGTATTGGTTCTTTCGGGAATTCCAATTAGTTTTATATCATAGGTTACTTAGACAATGGAAGTCCGAACTAATGAAATTCAAAAAAATTGAAATTCGAAACGAAAGTAGGTATAGTTCATTAGAACTGATATTTGTAATGAAAAAAATTGAAACCCTATTTTGATTCACTCATATTGAATCCAGTTACCAATTTCATATAGAACTTCTGCTGAACCACTTTATAAAATACAAAATTGTACTTTGAATAATGTAAGCTCAGTTTTTTTCAAAATGGCGCCGTAAGAGCCATTTTCCCCAAATTGAATTGGGTGGCACTATGCGAAAATATTGTCAAATAACTTAATGTAAAGGATTAAATTAAGTCTGAAGACTGTTGTAATACAGACCCCTTTGGATATGTAGGGCTCTGGATGGTTTACATTCGAATAATCATATATTATCAGATGTTCAATCAAGAGAAAAATTATTATCGATAATTTTCAGTTGTCACTAGAAAATAACACCACGTAGGATACGAGAGTGCATCTTCAATTTAATAAAAAAATTAAGCAAAAATAAAGTTTTACTGACAAAAAATAAGAAAATCCCAATTCTTTGGGCTGCTTTCAAACACCCTGTATGTCCGACAGAAATCGAATTCGTCCATGACAAAAGCAAGGACTTTTCAAACTTATACGGTACCCTCACTATATTCTAATCAATTCGTTATAGCCAACACTAAAAGAAAAAAAAAACAAGTGAATAAAACGAAATTTATCAAATAAATAAAATTTAATGATGATAATAAAACATACAAACAGAAATGTGATGTCGAGTTTACAACAGAGAAACTAAATACTTAATTGTCTTACTGATTCATGAAAAAGGAAGTTATGATTATGATTCAAATTGAAATTCTTTAAAACTAAATGTTCTCGGACGATGATGAGAGATCGATTTACATACATTTGAAACAAAAACGGTGTGACCAAATACGCAACACATCCAAATATCAGCTATGGCAAATAAGTACATGAAATTTGTAAAAAAACAAAATTTACCTTTACAATTAGTTATTCAAAAATATACGGTCACTCACCTTTTTTTTTTCCCCAGATGTGACAGTCTTCATTTTCTTGTTTGCGTTTCACAAAGAATAAAACGAACGAAACTCTTGATTGAATCACGCTTTTTGGATAAGCTCCAAAATAAAATAAAATTTTAGTCATTTTCCAAATAATTTCCAACTAAAAACTCAACTTTGAATGTGAATAGGTAAATGGCAAACACTGAGCCCAATCTGTGAACCGCTTGAGTCGCTGGTACGAACACACTTCTCTTAAAACTCTTTTTCTTCTTTTTAAAGTATTATATATTGACTCCTCGCGAGCTTATTTAAAAAAAATATCATTATTAATACCTATTATTTGACTGTCCTATTCTAATCAACCCTTCAGTCTTTGTCTAACAATGTAGACAATGCTTCAGGGTCATTGTCTATAGATTTAATAGACAATGCTTCAGTACTCCCTTATTTGTTGTGGTTGAAAAAGAAATCTAGTAGCAAAGCAAGTAGACTACATATTTCCTCACTTGGCTTTTCAGTACCAGATGGCGGTCATAGCACTGTTCGAAAATCCGTGCGATGTTTAGAGCCCAATTGAGAGTCTAAAATGTAATTTCCAAGTACATTTCAAGTGTTGATTGTTTTCAACCCTAAGATTCAATTATGGGATTGGCTTTTGAACTTTTTATCATAAACAGTTGGTTTATTCCAAAGCGGATAGTATGGAACTTCAGCTGATAACCTATACAACCTTAGTATCTGAGAATTTATTTTAAATCGGTTAAGGCTTTCGCGGCCAAGATTCTCAACTATCTTCTTTCGGGTTTGAAGGCCATCGTAGTTTGGAACTGTATTTTAAAGTTTCGCCAGCACGAGTGGCTGTCTTCTTCAGAGGTTTATTCATCTTGATGATTCATTGATGACATCGGTGAATCTCTGATTAGAATGTCTTTGATGACATATTTCTGCGATACATGTCGGTTTGTAATGAGTAAAACTTGACCGATAACAAAATTCAGATGGTATGAAGGGAAAGTTATATATAACGTAACTTAAATAACAATCTGCCTTAATGCCCTTTCAAAATGACTACAAACTGAATGGAAAAAAGTTGGTTTTTGTATGATGAGCTACATTATATTTTATTTGCATGAACTACACATCTAGGAATTGATTCTTCTTTTCAAAATTCCTACATTTTTTGTATGAAGATGAAAAAGTCAAAAGCCAAAACCGTTTACCCAAAATTGATCTCTCCTAAAAATATAACTCTCATTTTTTTTTGTATAATTCAATGTTGTTTCGAAACTACGTTTTCTTTCTTGTAATTTGATGCTTATATGGAAATACTTAATTGTTTCGAGAGAACTTTTCCTTCCAGTTTGTGTCTGAAAGTTACTTCTTTGCATGATATACATATCCTTTTAAGGAGTTTATTTTTAAATCATTTGCTTCCTTCCTCTCTTTGAAAGTTTCCCCCTTTTTTGTATAAAAATGGAAAGTAGAAATCCAAAACCTTTCTATCAGATACGGAAAGAATTGCTGATGAAAACCGGAATTATAAAATTTCTCCGTGAAATTTGTAAATTTCCTTGAAATGGTGTTTCGACAGAATATGTCTAGCTATTATTTGGAAGCTACACATTTACCGCGTGACAACGAATTCCTTGTACACGGTAACATTCAGTTCTTTCTATTTAAAAAAATTAAATCGAAACGAACATATAGTTCACAACAGCTGATATTTCAAATGAACTATACGTTTCGTTTCAACCGGAATCGGATAAGCCGAAATAGGTTTTTAATTGTTTTTTCATTAGAATTGTCAGCTTCAATGAACTAAACGTTTGTTCCAAATTCCGAATTTCTCATACTAGAAACAACTGAATCGCATCATGAGCAATGAATGTGTTGTCACCAGATAATTATATTCAATAGAAAAACTTGATAGGTACTAGAAAGTCTTTGAACGAGTATAGTCAATTTTTGTCAATCATGTGTTACCCAAAAATACTAATTCAAATCCGAAATCATTAATGATTTGAGTATTTTGAAGGTTATGTTATCTGCTACAAACTCAAGTCGATAACTGCTGATTGCAATGTGCAACACATCTGCATGTATCAGTTCCAACCAGTCATAAGAAAAAAATCGATACTAGTTCTCGATTCTTCGTAAAACAAGTTTTATTTTATTTTAGTTTATCAAGTTACTATCGCGTTTGAGATAACTACGGCTAAGTTCACTCTAACATTTTATATTTGCTCTTTCATATACGAGATAAATGAAAATTTCAAATAATTTCCCAACATTTTGATGTACACTAGCATTATTGTACATCGCACACGTCAGAGAAATGTGACTCGTTGATGAGACACATCGGCCGGTTTTTTCATTGGCTTCATTGCGGCTTCCTTTCCGAGGTGTATTTTATTTTTTACTTACTGATGTGGTGTTGACTATGTAAGGTTTTTACTTAGTGGATTTCTGTGGATAAAATGGCAGACCCGACTATTCAAACGTTCTGTTGTCATCATGCGAACGGCACAGATATAGCCGTGACGATTATGCAAGAATTCAATACAGATGCCTACAACATCGTCTGCTTGTTATCTGCAACACTCGGGATTCTCGGAGCTTTTTATCAGGTAACATATTAGAAAGTGGTGTTAGTTACACTATTTATAACTCAAGAACGGATGACCGTTCGACCGCGTTTCCATGAAGTCACCAAGAAGTCACTATAAAACGTGGTATAGCAAAAACGCATCTGACATGTGACATCAAAAGTCCCGGTAGTAGAGTGGTCAGTATCCCCACCTGTCAAGCGGGAGGCCTGGGTTCGATTCCTCGCCGAGGAGATACTTTTTTTATTTTTATTTGATTTATTTTTATTCATTCATTTATTCATTTATTTTTTTATTTTTCACGCCAATAGAGATTTTATTATTTACTTACGATAAGCTATGGTTTCGCTGATTATCTACTTAGTTGAATCTATATATATAAAAGAAAGTGGTATTAGTTTAGTATTATATAAAAATTTATTGCTGATCGAGAACGGCTGAACCGAATTGGCTAATTTTGGTTTTGCGCGGCATTAGCAGGGTTAGCTGTTGTATTTCGTCGGTTATTTGCCACAGGTAGGTACCCACAAAATCGTAGGTTTCATATAAAAGGCAAGGGTTGGGTATTTTTATCAGAACTTGAACATATCATAATATATAATGACGAAATGTATTTTTGTTCATTAAAATAGATAACTTTGGTGAGTAATTGCAGGGTATCGGACAAACAAAGAATACAATCTAGTAGGAGCGCTAAATAAAAACTTGAAACATAAGCATAGACTAAGATTATTGTTTATTGTTCAATAAATACCCTGAAATTTTAGAACAAAAAGACAATTTTATAAATACATGAATCCTCAAAAACGCAAATATTCATTCTTAGTTCATTTGACTTTTTAGACTAATTTTCAAATTTAATCAATGTGTTTTTGGAATATAAGTATTTATTTGTAGGTATATTATTATTGACAATACCTCTTTCACTGAACCATATTAAAGATTTTTTTCATTTTTTGTCAGTCTTCAGTTAAAGTATAATGATTTTTCCAGATATTACCAAGGGAACAGTTCTCACACCATCATCAGTGGCTTTCTTTTTCTGCAATCAGAGGGAGAAAAATCATTATCTGGTTAGCTGTAGCTGATCTTTTAGCATCTCTAGGTGAGAATGTAGTGGGTAACCAAAGCCATATGAATGAATTTACGACCTTTTCGTTGTATTTTCATATTTCACTTGAAATTAGATCATAATATATGCTCGTCTCACAAATTGTTATGCATGGGTTCAGTTGAATTTATATTATTGTAGTTTTTACCAGTAAATTGAATAATATTTATGTCTTACATTCTACTTTTTTTAGGTGTTTTCACAAGATCTACTATATGGATTAATTACAAAAATATTATGCCAGCTATAGATGACAACTCTAGTGTTCTATTTTGTGCAGTATCATCGGTAAGATAACGTTGAATTGTGAGTTTATCTTTTCTATAAATGAACACTGATGAAAAATTTGGAACTCCTTCAGCGATGTTTTGATTGTTCCGTATTTGATCAGTATTTTGAAATTTCTGTAGTTTTTTCCGGCATACATAAGATAGATAGTGCTTTTTAGAAAAATAAGAAAAAGATGTTTTGAATTTTATTATGAAATATTGTTTTTATTATACTTGTTTATCAAACAGTCATCAGATTATTTTAATTGTTATTTCTTTGAAATCTATATAAAAAACCTTTGTGGATTGTTGTTCTTTACACTTTATATTTTTAGGCATTCACTCAATACTTCTACACTTCAACCTGGATATGGACCTTATGTTATGCCATAGACATGAGAATGATTCTGACTCAAAAGGAAAGTCATATGAAATTCTACCATATCGCAGCATGGGTAATTCCAGCCATCTCAACCGCTACAGGATTGTGTTTGCTCTACTTTCCAGATGCGAAGTAAATGATGAAATCGTAACTATTACATTTTGAATATTATATGATGCGCATCAAAGTAAGAGTTTATGAATGCAGAAACGTTTTTGTTTCGTTTTGAGTTCAACTATTGTATAAAGAGTTTGAACAATTCAAAGTATATTTTTTGAATTCGTAGTACATGGTACCATGTTAATGCTAACCTTTGTTAATTGTTTTACAGAATTCAACTGGTAACATTTTCAAGATAATAGGTAGAAGATATTAGAGAACCGACAATTTCTCAGATGAGATTTCCAACTTCTACCATATTTATAACAGCTTATTCGTCTAATGACTTTCTTATAAATTTATTTGTTTTCCAGCTGTTCATCGCACATGAAATTGAGAGAATCATACATAATTAAACTACTAGTAATAGTCTTGAATAAAGTTCACTTTAGAAGTAACTTTAATTTCCGGAAGCTTTCTCGACGCAAGCAATGTTTTTTTTATTTGTAATTAATCGACCGTGCAGTTTTAAATTGTTATTCAATGATCGTTTTTTGTTCAACATTTTTCATGGTCTCTCATATAAGTAATGGATACAAGTTATTGATAATTGAATAGAACTGACCGATAGATGAAAATCCATAATTAAAACTTATTAATACAGTTTATTGTATGCTTTTCACCACTATTAATAGTGAAGATCATACAAAGAACTATATTAATGGGTTTTTATAAATTATTGCATTTTTTATGATCATTTGATTGTTGCACGATTCACATATCTATATAAAGTTGCGTCGGTTGGTATGAAATTGTTGTTGGATGTTTTAGATGTGATACTCGGCATTTGTTAACATTTGTATTTCAATCAATTTCAGAATCTGATTAAACCCGTAATATTTATATATTTGTGTAATGTTTTTGAGGTATGAGACAGAATTGGCCAAAAATTTTTCACTGAACAGTTCACAAAACCGCAAGACGTGTTTCTCTATACAATAGTCATCTCAACCGAAATTATATAGGGAATTAACTGGTAAAATTTACTCAATATGAACACACCTGGAGAAGCTATTGTGGAGTGAAATACGTGTTGCAGTCTTGTAAGCCGTTCAGTCAGAATCTCATACTGATTTATGATTTCTCTTCGATTCTATATCGTGAAGCTTCTGTTTGTAATTTATTCGGGTATAATGTATATGAACCTCTTCAGTGCAAGGGTTCTGAAAATAAAAAACTCAAGATTGTGTAAAATGACGAAATAAAATTTGCAATATTCTTGTTTGTAGATGCATACATTTTATTTCAGTTGTCACACTTCATCATCGTTGAGGACAGCAGTTCTGAGAATTCTTCCAAATTACGTTTTAACTTATCTTCCAATATCCATAACAATGATTGCCAATCCATGTTTGTATCGACACTCTACGAAGGACATGGAGAGAATAATAACCAGTACTTCAGGCCAGTTTACCAGTAAGGAGAGGAGTCTTATCGATTCTATAAAGCTGAAATTTTCCGCCATTAACATTGTTTTTTACATTTGCTGGACACCAAATTTACTAAACGGTATCCTACTTTGGGTTCTGTGGTTCCATCTGCCGGTATCTTTTATAATTACTCTCTGGTACATTATGGTAATTATATTATTGTATCTCCGTCTTGTTTGCCATTGAATTGATGCTATTTTGTAGGCATTTATGAATCCTCTTCAAGCACTATTCAATTGTTTAGTATATCGAAGATGGAACAGTGGATCAGAAAGAGTAATTCTGCCATGGAGACAACTCGAGAGAACTGGTTCAACTGACAGTAAAAAAAACACATCAAAGTCGTCCTTGGAAGATACAATCAGAGAAGAAATTTATCCATTACTACATAATGCTCCATCAAACAGCGTAAATTTATATCAGAGTCTCACTTAGTTTATAATGTTTATGTTGAAAATATAGCACCAACCTAGAAGAACGGAAAATTTCAGTCAACTGAATTATTTTATGTTTCGTCTATTTGAAAAGGCAGCTGTATCATTATAGATTATGAAAATTTTGCCGTTTTCTGTAGTCATATGTAATTTCATAAATTCATCGATCATCAAAGTAATAACTGCATTATTAATAATTCTAATTTTGGTTCTGATGAAAATAAACACTATTTTGATATTATTGTGATTATAAAAAAAGTTTCCTGGCTTTTCTTTTGTTCTTTATGATTGATTAGGCCTTTACTTGAAGATTCATAGTAGGTAATTTCATAAACTACACCTTACGATTGATCTTCACAAACTTTATATTTAAAATATATCACATATGTTTCGCTATCACTGTAGTTTTCTCGTAGTAAATAATATACTCTAACATACTTCGAGAAACTATTGCGATAGCGAAACATGTGATATATTTCCAAAAATAAAGTTTGTGAAAATCAAATCTCAAGTAGTAGTTTATGAAAAATTTTATTTTTGATTCGAAAGCAAGATGGCTGAAATTTGTATATCTTGTAAACAGTTGATAATTATTGTGATATACGCAATTTTCTATTTTATTGTAGCATCTATAGTTCGATAACGACACCAATTATGTACGGTGACGCAATCTATAGTTCGTTTTGTAAAAGTAATCTGAGCAGTTTGGTTCGAGGTTGATCACCCAAAAGAACATCAAAAATAAGCTTTTTATAAAGACTGACGGAGTTGGAAGTGGAAAGGTATTCACCTTTGTTGCGCGTTGAAAATATGATTATTTTTGATGAAATATGGATGAATATACCAAATACCGCTAAGGTTCCAGAAAAACTTATTTGCAGTTCCAATACACAAAATCAAATAGAACGAGTCCACTTGCAGATGGATCCAACGTTCCTAAACTTTTTACCACAATACTTTTTCAAATAAAGAAATGTGTAAGAAAAACGAGTTCTAATTATACCGAGAAAGCTACTGACAGCGTCATCTCCGCG